GCGGCCTGGCCCGCGGCGGCGCGCTTGGTGTGGCTGGCGGCCTCCTCGCGCGGGACGATGTCGATGAGGAAGTCGAACATGTCCGACTTGGCCAGGGCCGAGGCGATGTCGGAGCGCTGCAGGGTGCGGCGCTTGTTCTCCTCGGCGTGGATCCAGGCGCGCATGGTGAGCTCCGTGATGAAGATGTCGCAGCCCTTGGCGAAGAGGATGGGGGCCTCGGCCGAGATCATCTTAACCTCTGGGTCGGCCTTCATGACCTTCTTTATCCGGGCAAGGGGGAGCTGGTGCAGCTTGTAGTCGTGCGTGTCACTCTCAAGATGGTTGATGGTCTGCTGCCAGTACGTTGTGAGGATGTCCTTGTACTGGCCCGTGAGGCCTTGGTGGACCTTTTGCAGGGGAGAACATCAGTGTTTGTTTGGCTGTGGGTTGGATGCAAGGCGACAGCGAGGTGAGTAGAGCAGAGAAAGAGAACGAGGCACAAACATTAGCCCATGGCCCCGTGTAAAGCTCGGAGGGTGCATAGCCTTGTTGCGACAGCTGTATAGAGCTAGGTCAGTATTTGTGACATGCGTGGAGCGCGGCAAACAGCATGCATCCGAGTAACACGCGGTGTAACGGGGTGTAACGAACCGCGGCGCTTGCGCCTGCAAGGTCGTGCGGGATGGCCAACGGTCAGCATTCTGGTGACATGGACGGGGGAAGTCAGAGTAGAGTGAGAGAGATAGAGCAAGAGGACAAAAACATAAATCAGAATAAATTGATATAAGGCCATGATGATAAAATGTGGCAAAAATGAAGATATTTTGGGGTTTACGACGCCTCGACAGAGTTTACATACCATAGTGGCCGCCTTTGGTCAGGTCGTAGGCCGGCGCCCCTTGCTGGCGGCTGTGCTGAGCCTGCGACGCTGTCGGGTCGTGGGGGTCCATGGCTGCTGCTGCTTGGGCAGTGGCGGGGAAGGGGTGGATGTCAAGCTGGAGCAGCTCGGGCTGCTAGAGGCTCGGGAGCTGGTGGTGGTGGTGCGCAGCCGGCAAGAGGGCCCGAGGGAGGTGACGACGGCACGGGCGCACTTTGTAGTATTGTGCAGGCCACAGATCGTCGCGTACAGGCTTCAGGACTTGAGGCCAGCAACGTCGGCGAATGAAGGAAGGCGGATGCTTCTGCTCTGTGCAAGTGGCCCGGGAGACGTGCCCCGAAGAGCCCCCGGCGAATCTGTCAGCGTAAAGTGAACGTTTTTTTTCCCTGCTTGCGGGCCTTGCTTCTTGTTTCTTGCTTCTGCTGCATCGCCTGCCCCCAGGCCCAGCCTCTCCCGCCTCCTCTCCACCGTCCAGCCTCTAGGGTCTTCCGGCATTTGTTTACTTTGGGTAGCGCCAACGGCTCGGGGACGACTCTAGTTTCTTGTTGGCTCCCCCGGCTTGCCTTTTCGGACGAAATAAACCAAGTGATTGGGCGTGTTGATTGGCTGGGCGCGCGACGACAAGCAGCGAATGGGTGGAGTTTAAAAGGTATGTTTTTCTTTATCGAATGCTGGAGCCACTCAGGTCGAGCGATTGGCGACAAGGACCGCAATGACTGGCTTGGGGGGAGGGAGGGGCAGCGAGTGAGGAAGGGCAAACGGTAGGCGGCTTTTTTTTCCTCCCTGCTGACTGGACTTACCAGGCAAACCTTCTCTGCCGGAAATTGGGCGTATCAAAGGCGTGGGTTTTCCAAAAGCACAGGCAACGGCTTTTTTTTTTTTTCTGGATCCCGTTCCCAATCAGGCTCTGGACGAGTTGCAATGTTGCATCTGGAACAAAGAGATCCCCCCTTCAAGAAGGCGAGAGAGCGGTCAGCGAGAGATGTATGAAATGGGTTGGGCATCAGTCGAAAACCCTCGGCCAGAATCACGCTGTGGCTCAGCTCGAGCCAGCCCAACTGCCAACTGTCGCGCCCGCCTTATCACTCGGTCCCAGCCTCAAAATGACTTCATTGTGGCTGCCTCAGGCTAAAATAAACACAGCCCTGGCGCGCTGGCGTGCTGGCTCTCTGGAGGCCACTGTTGTGGCTTGCGCTCACGCACCTACAAGGTTGTCATCTCACGTGGGGCCAGAACGGCCACCTGGACGGACCCACACCGCTGAAGTGGTCCGGCCCACACCTGTGTGGTCCGTTCTTTGCGGGGCGGACTCTGCGCCTTGAACTTTTTCTGCCCCCGTCGCGTTCTCTTGTGCAAAAAATTCTCGAGCCTCTCTTTTTTTCTCCCGTCTTCCTCTTCCCAAGCACTCCTTGCCGTTCTCGTCAAGCGCACAGCCGGCCACCCTCCCCCCGCGACGACACGATGGCAGCAGGGGAAGTAGGGCTGTCGGAGGACGACTGGATCGAGGGCCTCCTTGTCGACGCGGAAAAGAGGCTTGCTGGTCGGGACTCGACGCAGGTTGCTGTCGTGGCCCCGAAGCAGGCCGGCCTTGCCAAGGCCAGCAAGGCGTTGGCGCCGCAGCTGAAACAGGTGACGGAAGCCCCGAAGAAGGAGGGTGAGGTGGACGTCCGCATCCCCCGGCCAGCTGCCCAAAAGAAAAAGGTACGTCTGGTTACCGCGTGCGCATGGCGCAAAACGCAGCTGCCTTCCATTCCTTGCCTGATGAAATCCTATCCCATTTCATATGACGCAGCGAGATACCCCGTCATGGGAGACTCTCCTGCACCATAATGATTACTTTTGTTCATAGTTACTCTGATTTGCACCGGACTGTTATATCTTTCTCTGGAGCCTTTCATAAGGAATCAGGAGCCCACACTAATTTGGGATTCAAACAAACAGGGGAAGGACCAGGACGATGCCGGAGCCGAGTGGTTCAACATGCCCAGGACCAATGTCACGCCAGAGTTGCTCCGCGACCTAAAGCTACTTCGCATGAGGAACGTGCTCAACCCCAAACAGTTCTTCAAGAAGGACACGCGCACCAACCTCGTTCCGACCTTCTCGCAGGTTGGCACGCTGATCGAAGGAGCGACCGAGTTCCATAGCAACCGCTTGACCCGGAAGGAGAGGAAGCGGACGCTGGCAGAGGAGGTTCTTGCTTCTAGTGACGCTGTTGCCAAGTTCAAAACCAAGTACAACGATATCCAGACAAAGAAGATGAGCGGTAGGAAGGGCCACTACAAGAAGCTCATGGCCCAGCGGTACAAGAAGCGCTAAGCTCAGGACTGCGAGGGCCGGAGCGCTTATTCTTAGCGCCGGCATCAACTTCCCTGGGGGAACGCCGGGAGATGCCGACGCGAGATGTGTACCCGCGGTGCGCATCACAACAGGGAAAGAATCGACGCACGTGTGGTGGGATGCTTGACGGTGCTCGAACAGGGATATATCCCTCGAGCTGCACATCCCCACCGGCGATGCCTGGGCGATTCACAAAGGTCATCCTACAGAGCAACACGCATAACAAGCGGCTGCTAAATCTGTAAAGTGAACGAAGGGCTCTGAAAAGTCCATTCGTGCCACGAGAGGAGTCACGGTGGGTAGGGGATGACACCCCACAACGTCCCAGTGTGATTTTTTTTTTTTTTTAGGTGCACCGCTTTAACAGACGGTGGATGGTCAATTCAATCGATCCATCAGTCAATAATTATTTTCATCCTCCTAAAGTAACCCTTCTATGTCCTTCAAATGTCAAATGCTGAGTGACTTGTAGAGGTGATGGCATAGCTGCCTTACCTGCGGGCGGGGGTACAAGGTCGCGGATCCCGTTTATAGTGCTTATCGATAAGTCGCAGGGGACTGACCATGCGGAACGGGTCTGGACAACCCGCCATGCACCATCCACGGTCAATTGAGCAGATGCGCTAAAAAGTTTGAGATCACGAACCAAGGCCCTTCCCGAGAGGAGCACCGAGGACACCCCGGCGTGATGCAACCATGAGGAGGACATCATTAATACGACCGACGCGGCGTCTGCTGCAGGGGCGAGTGGTATTAAATCTCCCGCCCAATGCTCTTAGAAAAGCCTGCGGCGCACGAACTGACCCAGGACATATCTCATGCCAGGCCCCGGCTTTTGCGACCGTCCCCCGCCCGTGGATACAGTCGCATCACCATGTTCGCCATGAGAGCTCAGGGTATGTTGCTCTCGGGACCTCCTGGGCCAGGCAAACCGTCCGACAGCCTGCTAAGAAACTCGTTAAAGTCCCAGGAACCCCCCACCGAAGGTCGTCGTGAGCCCAGAAGCAGCCGCGACGCCAAAATCTAGCCCAAATCCCGAGGCCAGTGCGGCTCCGGACGCCACCGTGATCCCTAAGGCGCCCGCGGCCCCAGAAGCGGCTGCGGTCCCGAAAGCTACCGCGGCTCCCAGCGCCTCCGTGACCCTGGACGTCGCTGCGACACAGGCAGGTCCTGCGACTCCGGAAGCGATTGTGGTCCCGGAAGCCGCTGCGTCTCCCGGTGCGGCTGCAATCCCGGACGTTACTCCGATCTCGAACGCTCCTGTAGCTGCAGATGCGGCGGCAGCGCCGGAGGCGAGGCCGGCCCCGAAGGCTGCTGCGACTCCGAGCACCACTGAGACCCACGATGCCGTCACGGCCCCTGAAGCCGTGGCAACCCCACAGGCGACGATAACCCCAGAAGCCTCTGCGGCTGTCGAAACAAGTTCACTTTCGGAAGCTGCTACGATTCCTGAAGCGCCCACGGCCCCCGAGGCGGTTGCGGTTCCCGAAGCTGGTACGGCTTCCAGAGCTGGTACGGCTTCCAAAGCTGCTACGATTCTAGAGGCTGTCAAAGCTCCTGAAACTGCCAAGGCTCCGGAAGCTACTAAGGTCCCCGAAGATGTTGCGACTCCTGTAGCTACTAAGGCTGCTGAAACCGTTGCAGCTCCGGAAGCTGCTCCGATTCCGGAGGCTACCGAGGCTGCCGAAACTGTCAAGGCATCGGAAGCTACTACGATTCCAGAAGCCTCCAAAGCTCCCGAACCTGCCAATGTATCGGAAGCTGCTGCGATTCCAGAAGCCCCCCTAGCCCCGAAACCCAGTGAGATCCCGGAAGCCAGCGTAGTTAGTAAATCCGCAGTAACCCCGGAAACTACCCCAACCCCTCAAGCTACCGAGCCTCCTCGAGTAAGCGAGGCCACGGATGCGAGCAAGCCTTCCGAAGGAAGTGCAGGCTCGGCTATCTCCAACCCCCCTGCGGGGGTCACGAGCAAGGCTACCACTGGCCCAGATGCGAAACTGTGAGCAAATAGCCTACCTCATGCGGCGCTGTGTACTAGACGCCTCGGCTGTGCTAACCGACACCATCTATGATGGTCAACAACAGAACCGCGCCTGCTCCTGAGGCCGACGAGTCGACGAGTGACAAAGACGGCATGCCGCGATACCCACGTAGTTTGCAGGCTCTGCAGCTGGTGCCCCTCCGGCGTGAGGCCGAGTACGGCGTGCCGTCATGCGACCTGCAGATGCGATCATACAGCGCCCGGCCGCTCGAATTCTACTGCGACTTTGCCCTCCGGGCGGCCTACTACCTGGGCCTACCCGCCTTCGGCCCCGTGCCGCTGCCCAAGATCATTGAGCGCTGGACCGTACCGCGGTCGCACTTCATCTTCAAGAAGTCACAGGAGAACTACGAGCGCATCACGCTGCGCCGCCTGATCCAGATCCGAGACGGCCACCCGGAGACGGTCCAGGTCTGGCTCTCGTTCTTGCAAAAGCACGCCATCTCGGGCATTGGTATGAAGGCCAACATGTGGGAATTTGGCGCACTGGGTGAGTTCTATTCATTCTGATTTTATGGGCTATTGCCGAAGCCGCCTATGTCTGTCTCAATTTCGTGTGTACTAACCTCGTGTATTTCTCCCTTTCTAGATGCTGGCAAGGAGCTGGAGGAGACAGCCAAGGCTGCGGCAGCTGATCTCGACGCCAAGTGGGCACACCTCGCACAGTCGAAGCCACTGGCTTCTACTCCCAGCGAAGTAAATGATATCATTGTTAAGGAGAGGGTGCGGGTTGCAGGAGGGAGATAGCCAGGACGGCATGTTCATGATGAGTGACTCGACAGCGACAGGGACACTCCTACAAGCTTGTACATCTATCTTGTATGAATTACCACCTGATGCAATTTTCCGGTGAATCTTTCCTGTCTATCCATTGTGGCTTGTAGGTTTTGAAAAGGGGCCCTGGTGATGTGTGCATATGAAAACACATGTGTCAGATTTGAGAGTGCAGCCTTGTGTTCCTGGCATTTGAGAGGCAGACGATGCATTGGAAGCGAGAAGAAAAAGAAAAGCAAAAACAAGTGAGACTAACCTGCCCCTGAAGGAACAAAATTATCAAAGGGTGCTCCTTGCAAAATGAGCAGCCTGTTTGGTGGCACCAGGTAGGATGAGTGGATGCTTATAATTGCGAGCATGATGTGATTGAGTCGATGTACACATTTTTCTTGGGCGACAACCACGCTGCCAAAACCACGAGATCGTGAAGAAGTGCAATTATTGTTCCTCTCGACGGCAACACCAACCAATCAATTAATCGACCTCACGACTGCTGCAACCAGATCATTCTACTGCAAACCGCAACACGGCCGGAGCGAGCGAGCAGGGTTACCGTCGGACCATGTTCAAGGCCGCTCGCCTGCGGCCCCCCCTGCGGTGGCGCCCGCCACCGCCGCTCTGCCGGGCGCTGTCATCATCGTCATCTACTACCACCCCGACCACCCCAACCCCGGCCGCCGCCCCCGACGGCGCCGTCGTCCTCTCGGGGATCCAGCCGACGGGCGTGCCGCACCTGGGCAACTACCTGGGCGCGCTGCGGCAGTGGCGGCGGCTGCAGGACGGCGCGCCCGCGGGGGCGGCGCTGCTCTACTCGGTCGTGGACCTGCACGCCATCACGGCTGCTGCTGCTGCGCCCCAGGGGCCGCCCGGAGCAGCGCTGCTGCGCCAATGGAGGCGCGGGGCCGTGGCCGCGCTGCTGGCCGTCGGGCTGGACCCGGCCCGGTGCGTCGTCTTCTTCCAGTCGGCCGTGCCGGCGCACGCCGAGCTCATGTGGATCCTGAGCTGCACGGCGTCGGTCGGGTCGCTGTCGCGCATGACGCAGTGGAAGGTGGGTTGGGTTTGGGCGTGTTGTTGCCACTGTTGCGTATTATCTCTGCTGGACGCTGACGCGGGGGGGTTGTTGTGTGGACTTGGCGGTTGCGTTAATAGTCGAAGCTGTCCATGGACGAGTCCAAGTCCTTCATGGACGACAAGGTCAAGAAGAAGCTGAAGCTCGGCCTCTTCTCCTACCCGGTCCTCCAGGCGGCCGACGTGCTTGTTCATAGGTGCGACTACCGGGATGGAACTCGGGAACTTTTTGTCTCGTAAAGCTAACAGACAGCAGAGCAACTCATGTCCCGGTCGGAGAGGACCAAAAGCAGCATCTCGAATTCGCACGCGAGTGTGCTACCAACTTCAACGCCGCCTACGGACAACTCCTCGTGCCTCCCGAAACCATCATATGTAAGCCGCCCAACATGAATGGGGAGAAACCGCTCTCCGCCTGAACAGCTATGTTTGTACATAGCAGCCAGCATGCTGACACACAGTAACAACAACAACAACAACAAAAAAAAATAGCACCCTCCGCCCGCGTCATGTCCCTCCGGGACCCGCAGCAAAAGATGTCCAAGTCGAGCCCCAACGCCAACTCGCGCATCCTCCTGACCGACACGGCCGACGAGATCCGCAGGAAGATCGCCGCCGCCGTCACGGACCCGCTCGAGGGCGGCGTCCGGTACGACCGCGAGGCCCGGCCCGGGGTGGCCAACCTCCTGTCCCTCCTCAGCGCCTTCGACCCGGAGGGCAGGACGGCCGCGCAGCTGGCCGAGCCGGGCGCCTTTGGCGGCCGCCCCCGCGGCGAGCTCAAGGGCGCCGTCGCCGACGCCGTCGTCCGCGGCCTCGACGGCATCCGGGACAGGTACCTCGAGCTGCTGTCGAGGGACGGCGGCAGGTACCTCGACGAGGTCGCCCTCCAGGGCGCCATCAAGGCACGCGAGAACGCCGAGAGGACGATGCGGGAGGTGCGCGAGGCCATGGGGCTCTCATGACCAGCCGGATGTCTGTAATTTTCTTGTATCCCCAGGCAATGTTGCCACACATACGCTACGTTCAAAGGCTTACGCCACAAATCCACTCATATGTGCCTAGTGGCTCATCCATGTGCCTTTGCAGGGGTTCGTTTATTCGGGTATCCTATAGTCGTTGATCATCTGCCGGGCAAATATAGACGGGAGCATTAGGCGTCATTAGACGCCTCAGATATCCACCTAGGAAGACGTCGTCGCTTTGAGCTATATCATCTATGTATCTACACAGCCCCCATCAGAGACCTCGACAGCGCGTCTAGTCTCATGATGCGTAGGCAAAATTGGAGCCCCGACACGCAAGCCAAAACTCTCGGACCACCTGGTTCGTTTGGCGAGTCCCTCGGAGACTGATTGGGTACATTTAGTCGTCAGTGTCATAAGTGATGTGGCAGGGAGGCACGAGTATAAGATAAGGAGGGGTTAGCGGGAAAAGCTGACCTCAAAATTTTCTTCAAAAACGCAGACTTCTCCTCGGAGGCGACCCTAGAACTTGGGAAAGACGCATCCGACAGTGCCTGCTCCAACCACGACTTGGCCCGCACATGCTGCGCCGCCAGCTTCTTGAGGGGCTCGCTGATACGGTCCAGTTCGCTGCGAGCTGCGTTGCCACCCACGTTACGGATCAGCGATCCGGCGAGAAGGGGGCCGAGGTGAGTCATGACACTCTCGACCGACTGCTGTAGAGCCGCATCAGTGGGCCGCAAGGTGATGAACGTGGTCTATTATCCGACGTGGAACGGTCAGCTTGACGGATAGAATAAGATAGTTTGTATTTTGGCTCTCGTCTCGCCCTTCTCGGCACTACTCACCCAGAAATCAGCCGCAGCCGTCTTTGGCAGGGTCTCTCTGCCATCAAGAACCCTGAGGGAAAACATGAAGAAGAACTCTAGCAGGGATGTCGGTTGAAGCTGTAGCAGTACCTCATGTTGCCGTTGCGCTACACGCTGTACCAGCTCAGTAACGTTTTGCGAGAGTTCCGTGTCGGCTTCGGGTTCTGTTGGGGCCGAAAAGTCAGCGCCGTGTCATTGTTGTTGGCGAGTGAGCACTTGGCCCGGCCGTATCCACCCAAGTCCCCTAGCGGATCACCACTTACCAGGCAGAGACTGCAGCAAGGAAATGGCCCATGGTAAAATCTTGATCAGCTGTCTGGCAGCCTCCTCGCGCGAGCTACTTGCCAGCGAGCTCGTGAAAGCACAGGCCGTGCTCACTACGTAGCCTATCCTGGGAGTGCTGTAGTCGTGGCCCGCGAAGAATTGCGAGACGGCATTGGCGGGCAAGACGAAAGGTCCCGGTTCCGTCTCAGAGAAGCCGGCGCGGAAGACGTGGCAGATAGCCTCGACAATCTCGCCGCTGTCCGGGAAAGACGAGCGCAGCTGGGCGAGTAGCTGCATGATTTCGGACTGCACAAGAGGCAGCTGCTGGCTCGTGTTGCTCGCAGATGTGCCCGCCGCGCCGCCGCTTGTAGAGCCATCGAGCTCGATGGGCCCATCCGATGTCCCTTGCATGCCCTTGGCCATGCTCAGCAGATATCTAGCGTTTTGGAGCGCAATCTGTGACGCGATCTTGTCGGCGGTAGGGACACTATCTTGGGGCTGCGACTGGGACTCAAGATAGTACTTTGCAAGGAAAGGATCTGACATATCGAACCTCTCTGGGTGTGACTTCAGCTCCAGACATCGGTCCACATCCTGCCGAATCATGGAAAAGAGATGGCGGAACGCCTCGAGTCGGGGGGCCTCATCCGGGATGGCCTGGATGACAGACGCAATCGCCGCCACGATCTTCTCCTCAGCAAAAGGGTCGACTGTCCGAGCGGCATGGATGGACTGGAACGAGGCAATGAAGGTTGCGGCCTCGCCCGTCAAGAGGGCGCGGCAGGATGAACAGAGTGTGCAGATGGACTTGGACGATGGGCCGGCAAGGACCGGGTCACCCACGGCGCCGAACAAAATATTGAGGGCGCCAGGGAGAAACTCGCCGTGGCGCTCAAAATAGTCAGAGAAGCGCTCGATAAGGGACAAGCCCGTCTGGCGGAGGCGGACCGGCAGCTTTTGACCCTGGCCCAATAGGTCAAACAAGTTGGACGAGAAGACCTTGCCCAGTACCTCATCACACGTCCCGCCCTCTGGCACACAATCGGCGAGTGAGCCCAAACAGAAGGCGGCCGCCTCGAGCTCGGCCCACGACTGCGTGGGGAGAGCTCGGAGGAGCAGGTCAATGAAGAGTGAGATTAGGGGCGGACCCGAGATGGCATAGACCGTCTGCAGCAGATCAGCAACGTCCTTCCTAGCCTCGATGAAGCCGGCACGGTCCGACGAGTCCCAGCTCGCAAAGACGGCTGCGGGTGGGTACTGTATCTTCTTGAAGCAGTTGCCTACGACCTGCATGACAAGTGCCAGGGATGCCTGTACCCAGTCCTGGGATCTCGCCGACTCCTCGTCACTGCAGACCGTGTCGGCCATTGTCTCGACAAAGGTTGCCCAGAATTCGAGGGCCGGTACAAAGATTTTGTCCTCGCCGACGGCAAGTCCTGAGGCGGCAAGAAGTCCAGCGAGGCCAGCCAGGAAGCGCTGCGAGCGGGCATCTGTGCTTTGCTGCAGATCCATCACCTTGGCGTCTCCAAACGCAACCATCAGCATGCCAAACTGAATCGAGTCAAACTCGAAGTCGCCCTGGATCAGCTCTCGATACCGCTTTTGCGACCATTCGGTGTCGAACAAAGCAAATAGTGTATTATAGCCATCCCCGGTGAAGAAGCCCGAATAGTTGGCGAGAGTGTCGGACAAGAGCTCTATGCTAGCCTCGTACAGCTCGTCTACCACCAAGCAGTCGATGGTCGGGGCGAGCAGGGTCCGTAGTGGAGTGGTCAGCGCGTCCGTGGAGGACGAGATGCGTTGGTTGTACATGATCCAAGGCTACAGGACAACAGCGGTCAGCTGTGTCTCCACGATGGGAGCGGCTGGTTCCACCAGATGAGGCAGATAGGGAGCGGGCTGTCGCGTACCTGGAGGCACTTGATGGCTTCCTCTTGAACCTTGACGCGCTCCGGGCCACCGAAGCTGGGGTCCAGGGAGTGGGCAACAAGTGTGGCGACATCTACGCCCTCGGCTATGAGCTGGGTATGTGCACTCATGCTACACGGCCGGACGGTCAGCTCTGCTCTTGGGGAAGTAGTGACAGTCAGTCAGCCAGGCTGCCGACTGGTGCTCCGGGGGGTGTAGCGACATACTATCTCAGCGTGTTCATATCGGTCTTGGCTGTGTCCTCCACCAGGGTAGCCGCGAACCAGAGAGCGGCGCGGAGACGGATGAAGTCGAGCTGTTGCACCAGCGATGACACGGGAACGGGAGGTGCGACGGGCACGGGGACGCTCTGGCCCGTGTGCAGGCAGTGCAGAAGGTGGGCGACACAGTCGGGCCACAGCTGGGAAAAGTGAATGTAACAGGTCACGAGAGCTGACGACAGCTTCTTGGTCACCAGGGGCCCAGAGCCGTCGTTCAGAGAGCGCACAAACCAGCCGATCAGGTTCTGCAGCAGCTCGACCGAGTCATCCTTGGAAAGCGACGAGCTCTCCGTGTTGAGCTTGACGATGATGGTCAGGGCGCCAAAGAACTTGATGGCATCATTGGGGCGTTCCAGCAGGCTTTGAGCCAGCTGCCAGCCCTCGGGCGACTTCTGGACGCGGTGCAGGACTTCCTGGATTCTCGCGATGGAGTCGGGATGGCCCGGCTCATAGAGGGCGAGAATCAGCTTTGTTGCCAGGCCCGGGAAGCCGGTTGTCAGCACTTCTCCCCTGTTTATCTCGGCCAGGCGAAGTCGGGTTCAGCTTACGGCTTCCACCTCTTGGAGCGAGGTGGGGAGGGGAAGTCCACGCTCGTCGGCCATGGCGACACCAAGGCTCGCAGTGCCAGGGCCAAGCTTCGCATGCCCGCCGTGCGTTTTTGCTTTTCGGCGCCGGCCAAATGCGGGGCGCGGGGCGCTGGGCTCGGTGGCTCGAGCCGGGCGAAAACTACGTGGGGAGCTGCAGAAAGGCGTCGGAGTGAGGAACGCACAGGTTCATGGGCTTCGATGCGAGGGCTTCTGGATATGTGGTTTGAAATTTGAGCCCCGTCTGGTCAGGCTCCGATGATGTCGTGGTGGGTCGGTGGATGGAGATGCACGCAGCCCGCTGTGCCGTGGTGAGGAGCTCCAGCAATTGCTTGACGTTTCCAGCAGCTTCCTGAACCCCTCAATCCACTGAAGCTGGGAGCACCACAACATTGATTGATTGATCTCAGGAGTGACAGACGCAAACCTCCTGATCAGCTCCGTCCCACCAAGATATATCAAGTGGTAGGTACCTGGTACTTGGTCGATATTCACATGAGAATTCTTATTTTGTTTCTGCCATCTACCCCCCCTTTGGCATCTATTGGTCTGAACAAGGTCAGTGACCTTCACACTCCTTATCGTCCCCAAGGAAAGGCGAAGCATTCTAGACCATAAATGGAGACAGCAAACCCCAAAGATAGTAAAAGAGCCACATAATTCCATGCTGCCTCTCGCAAGCCTCGGGTAAAGGTAAAATGGTGCAGTGTATATCAATCGGGCGCAAGAATGTCAATACCGGTCGTGCCTGCTTCTTGCCAGCATTCATCTTCACTTTTAGGCAATCAGACTATTTGAAGCGTGCTGCACGGAGCCTGCATGATGCCACAGGGGTCGTTCGGCATAGGTGCCCACTAAAGCGGCGGGGTGTGGAGACCTGTCGCCCCTGTGCTGCTGCTCGGCCGGGGCGACCATTGAGACTCGGAGCTGAAGCCGCGACCACCCACCACCTTCCTCATCAGCGACCAGGACCAGATGGGTTACCCGGATCTGCCTCCATGACTGGGCGAGACATTGACAACTCACACGTGCGCGACCTGTGGCCCCGGACCTCCGCCCTGCTTATTCATTGCCCTGTCTGTAAGGCCTGCAGGCTGCAGCACAGGTATATAAACTGGAGGCTCCATAAACATTCTCATGAGCGGCACACTTGCGAGGGCAATCTTGGCTCCGGCAAGACCTCTTCTCGCTGCCCGCAGTAGCGGCTCGTTGTCCCGGCTCAGGATTTTGTGCGGCCCTCGTGTCCCTGGCGTTGGTCCCCGGCACAGCACCATCCGGAACTCCCGCCACGCCACCACCCCGCTTCGAAATCGCCCCAGCCGCCCCAACCGCCCCCTCCCATTTGTGCGTTACGCCAGCACCTCCTCCGCCGCCGCCGCCGAGATGAAAACGGTCGACACCACGGCCCGCCTGGCGGAGCTTAGGGGCCTGATGAAGGCTCGTAACATCGACGTCTACGGTAGGCATGCCTAGCTTCCACCTCGGCCTCCAAGAGCCGCTACTAACGCCGCCCCCGCCGCCTCCCGACATGCAGTCGTACCCACCGAGGACGCACATTCGTCCGAATACATCGCCCCGTGCGACGCCAGGCGCGAGTACATTTCCGGCTTTTCGGGCTCTGCCGGCACCGTCATCGTCACCCTCGAAGGCGCCGCGCTTGCGACCGACGGCCGGTACTTCAGCCAGGCCGCCACCCAGCTCGACAAGAACTGGGAGCTCCTGAAACAGGGTCAGCCTGATGTCCCTACCTGGCAGGGCTGGACTGTGAACCAGGTTTCCGGTGGTAAGACCGTCGGGGTCGATCCATCGGTGCTCTCCAGCTCTCAGGCTCGGGATCTGAACGATAAGATTAAGGACAATGGTGGAAAAGAGCTGGTCGCCGTCTCGGAGAACCTGGTAGACTTGGTCTGGGGCAGGCACCGACCAGCCCGCCCCAGCAACCCTATCGTGCTCCTCGAGCAACACTACACGGGCAAAGACACCCAGACGAAGCTCAAGGAGCTCCGGGCCGAGCTTGAGAAACAGAAGCTGTCTGTCTTTGTTGTCTCGGCACTGGACGAGGTCGCGTGGCTTTTCAACCTGCGAGGGAGCGATGTGCCCTACAACCCAGTCTTCTTCTCCTATGCTGTCATCACTGCCGACTCGGCCACGCTCTACGTCGACTCTTCAAAGCTTAGTGCACAGTGCCACAGCTACCTGGCGGAGAACAAGGTCGATGTCAAGCCATACGGCAGCATCTTTGACGACTCGAGGGCCCTAGCCCAGACTGTCAGCGCCAAGGGCGCCGAGGGCAAGGACAAGCCAAAGAAGCTCGCCATCTCGAAAAAGACTTCTTGGGCTTTGAAGCTGGCGCTTGGCGGAGACGGTGCGGTTGAGGAAGTTAAGAGTCCCATTTGTGACTCCAAATCCATCAAAAACGAGGCAGAGCTGGAGGGCATGCGACAATGCCACATTCGGGATGGCGCCGCGCTCACCGAGTACTTCGCCTGGCTTGAGGACCAGCTAGTGGACCAAAGAACCGTCCTCGACGAAGTTCAGGGCGCCACCAAACTGTTTGAGATAAGGAGCAAGCGCGCCAACTTTGTTGGTAACTCGTTCACCACAATCTCTGCTTCAGGAGCCAAGTAGGCCAGCCCTCCCCATTACCTTTGACGGATGTCTATTCTTTGAAATGAGTCTAACGTTGGTTCCTTTTGTTTCTGTTCCCAGTGGCGCCATCATTCACTACGGCCCGGAGGAGGACAGCTGTGCCAAGATTGACCCCAACGCAGTTTACCTCTGCGACTCGGGCGCTCAGTACCTAGACGGCACTACAGACACCACACGAACACTTCACTTCGGCACTCCTACTGATGTCCAGAAAAACGCATACACGCTCGTGCTCAAGGGCCACATTGCGCTGGATCAGGCCATCTTTCCGAGGGGGACCACGGGCTTCTCGTTGGACTGTCTAGCTCGCCAATTCCTCTGGGTAAGTCTTCCCGTCCTTCCACGCCGCTCCTTCTTTGGTTCATGCCTGACTTTTCTGCAGCAAGAGGGATTGGATTACCGTCATGGCACTGGGCACGGAGTCGGTTCATACCTGAACGTGCACGAGGGGCCCATTGGTATCGGAACTAGGAAGCACTACGCCGAAGTTGCCTTGGCCGCGGGCAACGTCACTTCGATCGAGCCGGGCTTCTATGAAGACGGCTCGTACGGAATACGTCTTGAGAACATCGCCATTGTCCGCGAAGTCAAGACGAAGCATCAGTTCGGCGATAAACCGTACCTCGGGTTCGAGTACGTCACCATGGTGCCATTCTGCCGGCGGATGGTCGAGCCGAGCCTCCTGAATGCCAAGGAAAAGAAATGGCTGAATGATTACCATGCTGCAGTGTGGGAGAAAACGAGTGGATATTTCAAGGATGATCCTTTGACGACTGCCTGGCTCAAGAGGGAGACCCAGAGGTTTGAGTGATGGACGTCTTTATCACGAAGTCACTCGAGAGCTTCATTTTGTAGGCATGATTTGGTGGCTTCAAGAAGATACTACGTCTCATTCTGATTGTCTAGCCTCGTATCCTCCAAATATACCAACTCAAAAATGCGCAAATGCAGACAGCGCAAATGTGACTCCGAACGAAAGCTTGAAAGGCGTTTTGTGGCGGAGGGCGGACAGAATGCGTGATGACCGTGCGCGTTCCTTGAGGTGAAATTGTTGAACCAGGTCTATGCCGTATCTTGCAGCGACCTAGTGATGTTTTGTCAACAACGACCAGCTCGCCAGTATTCATTCGTTGGGGTGTCGGAAAGGCGCTTACTTGGAAGGTCACAATCGATATGCCGAGGAGGAGGACAAGAGTCCGAGAAAAAACGCTGACAAGCAGACCAGTCAAGAATCCTGGAATTGCGTTATTAGAATCCCTGAAAGACGCCAAGGAGGTCGGTTGACCACAGCGAAAAAGCAGCAGTCCAGAACCATACCAGAGAAGCTTCCCCCTGATATCTGGCTGAGAATCTCGGGGTTGATGAAGCCATCGTCGCTGTCAACCTCTTTCCTAGGTACCGAGGACACGATGTTGGAAGGGGGGTGGTGAGCGTCAAATCTCAATGGGCGACGGTGGCTGGTGAAGGTGTGATGCCCGATGCCGAGAGACACGCCGACCGCCAGGGGCAACCCCCGTGAGACCAGGGCCCGCCGGCACAGAGCTACCGTCGCCATTGGTTTGCGAGATGGATGGGGACCTGACTCGACAGTCCGGGATGTCGGTTCGGAAGTCCGGCTCGGGACGGGTGGGTGGTCGTTGTTTGAATGAGGCTCTGCTGTAAGATCCTAGATCTAGCACTTCCGCTTCGAGGAAGGATGACGTCGAGGGGGGAGGGCAGCTGGAGCTGGTGTGGGTCTGCGCACCACTGCCTGGCCCCAGTGCGACAGCGGCGGTTGTGGAGCGGTGGAATAACCTTATTCTGTTTCCCAAATCCTAGGTATCCTTTCGATTCGTCTCATAAATGGTATGTCCTAAAGGCCATGTAGTAGAATTCCAGCTCGACAAAACTGTGCGCCAGTCAAATGATTTCCGGCTACGTCATTTCTGCCCGCCCGGGTTGGCAGCCATAAATAATTTGGGGCTAACCTATCCATTGCTCGATGCGGGGCACGACCCAACCCGCTTTTCTTGGCTGGACGCGTCGCGTCTGGACCGGACCCCAGGCAGGTTTAGCTCAAACTCTCGGGATGTTTATCTGGAGGTACCTTGCTGCCTGACATCGAACCCGAGCACAACGACCGACTGCTGCCTGCCTCGCATACTTGACGGCCAATTGTCGCGCGCATCTTCTCAGATCCAAAGCAAGAACCTAATCACCAAAAGCGAGCCGACTCGAATTACCACAGTCTTATCCACACTCTCCAAGCGACACGGCCTGACAACCAGTTAGCATTCGAGGCGCGCTCACGATGCCGCGCCCCCTACGATCTCGGGTCGCGCCCGCGAAGCCGGCTCCGACAGCCGAGGCGGAGCGGGCGCCGAGCGCGAAGCTCAGAGCAGGCCCAGCGTGGGACAAGGGCAGCGCGTCGAGCAGCGAAATGAGCGACATCTACGGCGTGAGCGACAGCGAGCTTAAGAGGATCTCAGCCGAACGCAACACCAACGCACCCCCGCCCCCACGACATTGGCTGCAGCAAAGGCCGCGCAGAGACAGCCACAACCCGAGCCGGCTGCCAAGCCGCGCGCCGATACCCAGCAGACGGTAGCGCTGACCGATTCGAAGCGCCGCCGCGACACTGCCATGAGCCGCCTCGACGACCTCACCACATCGTCGACGCTGGAGCAGCAGCCACGGCCGCAGTCAAGGGGCAGGAGGGCCAGCCGGCTCTCGGCACGCGGCGGGAGGGGCGCCAGCGCCACACGGGAGACGCAAAAGCGGCATCGTGCCGATGTGTCGGGGCTTGACATCATGGACGACTCGGAGCTGTTCGGCGATCTCGACCTAGACGCAGATATCGACTCCAGCAGCGTAGAGGGCGAGACCACGGCGCCCGGCTACCGGTCAGCCGACACCTCATCGTTCAATATCGCAATGTTCAAGCGCGGCCGCTCTAGACAATCGAGCGTCGTGGGAAGGGATGACGCACCCATCCGGCCAAGCAGCCGAGGTCCAAACACGCCGGGCTTCAGTTCAACGTTCAATCTTGGTACTTTCAAACGTCGACCGCGCGAACACAGCATCTTGGGAACTGGGAGGAAGGAGCGGGCAGAGCACACCGACACAGAGCCCGCCCCAGCAGGCGATGACGACGCAGCAGTTGACAGCGAGCTCGAATCAGACTTGGAACTGCCGGATATCGAAGACGAATCTCCAAGCCGCAGAAGGACTAGAAGTTCTGCCGCGGCTGCTGTTGTCGTTGCTCGCGATTCGCTACCTCGAATGGACCCTAGCCCTGCTGGAGTCTCCCGCAAGAGGAAATCCACAGACGCGCAGGAGGGATCCTCCAAACGACCGGCGTTGACGTCCGGCGACGACGTCCAGCAGTCCATCGAGAGCGAGTCGGAGCTGAGTCCGCCACCGCTCAGCGACTCGGCGTCCACACCTCCGCACATTCCGCCTACGTGTGATGACGACGAGGACGTCATGGCCCCTCCAGCTAGCAGCAGTGTCCACTCAAACAGCAGCCCGGGGCTATGGCCCCCGCTCAGAGGTATAGCTGCCAGTAGAGCACGCAGGGGCCGCTCGAAGAACAGGCGCAGGACGCCGTCCCCGGTGGACGACGATGCAGATTCCGACATCTCGTCGCCACCTTCGTTGACGCACTCTCCTAACTACACATCGGCGAGGAACAAGGGCAAGGGCCGCGCAGCCACCGCTGCTCCGCGTAGACGCTCACCTGAGAAGCTCACCACCGCCGAACTCACGTCGATGTTGCCGCGGAGGAGACGGAGAGCGGCGAGTAACGCACCCGAGGACGACGAACACGAGATGAACGCGCTGGCAGTCGCTAGGGGCGCTGACGAGCTGGCATTCGGCGGAGGGTCAAGAGTGACCCGGTCCTCCAAGAGACCCACGCGGCCTCTCGCCGAGTCCAACAGCACATCAGCTCCCAAGAGCCCCAACGCCACGAGGGGCGGCGGAAGTCGCAAGGGCAACCGAAGAACATATGGGTCCCGCGGCGGTCTGGCTGCTGGCTCCGACAAGGAGAATCAGTCAGCGGCGGCCGTCACGGGCGAGGAAGAAAACACGGTAACTGTGGCGGATGAAAGCTCAGAGGCTGTGCTCGACGATACCTTTGATGACACGGCGGATACCGTCGTGCCGCCGCCGGACCTGGGCGAGGAGCTCAAGAATGCGGCCAAGAAGTTCAAGGAGGTGGACAAGTGGGAGCTCGAGTATGAGGAGATCACGGAGCCCTCTTCTCCCGGGATCGATGCGCGATAGGGCACCCCCACCCGACTCAACGGCTCTCCGCCCCATAGGAAAGCTCGGGGCTGTCGGATCATTCTCGACCTGAGTCTGGGGGTTTGTTGTGTTGCTAGCAGCCTTGCCTGCTGGATACTATTTTGTTGCTTTTCTGCCTGTATACATGACGCTGTTATGTTGGATTGCTTGGAGTCCTGCAACCTTTTTTCTCCGTGGGTAGCATCGTCAAAAGCTCTGGGAATGTTGAATCATACCCCCTGAAAGCATTTTAATTTTACGTTTCCTATTTTTTTCTTTCTTTCCTTTTCAAGTATAATTATGGGACGTGATGATGTGATGCAACGTCAGAACGGCGGCGCCGAGTGACATGACCAGATACCAGACGACCATGATCTCGACTTCAGAGCCCCTAGCCATGACACGACCTTGAAATCTACAACCAGACACCCAAACGCCAGATCCCAAAATCAGCAGGCGCCACCGGCTGCGATAGAGAAGAGCTATTGGCCCATGCTGCAAGCCAAATTATTTATGGAATTTCATGCCAGGTTGAGGTTCTCGAGATCGTGCTCGACAACAGGGAGCAGCTCTGCAACCTGGTTGGAGTCCCTGAGCGCCGTCGTGATGGCGTCGGGAAGCATGCCCTTCATCATGAGGTTCTGTTGTTGTTGTCAGCGCCTGAGATTGGAGAGTCCTAGGCGGCGGATTCACATTTACGATGCACGGATGGGTCAGAATAATAGGAAAGAAAGAAAGAAAGAAAGAAAACCTACCCTCTTGACGTTCTCAAACTTGTCCTCCTTGGCCGTGTACTCGCGTATGACGTCTCCCGTGTCAAAGTCGACGTAGACGCGCGTGTCGCGCACGCGGACGAGCACGCCGTCGAGGCGCATGTAGAGGCGGGCGAGCAGCAGCATGCGGTGCTCCATGACGCGCACCTTGACGCTGTAGAGCGAGATGCCGTTGTCGTCCAGCTCCGACTCGTACAGCACCACCTCGTCAAAGAAGAGGATGGGGTCGCGGCGCTTGAGCAGCTCGAGCGGTATGGGCTTGAGCGGCTCACTGCTGCCGCTGCTGCTGCCGCCGCCCAACCGCTTCTTCTGCTGCTCCTCGCCCCCGTCGCCGCCGCTGCCCCCCGCCGTCTCGCTGCCGCGGTAGTCGGAGCTGTAGCTCCAGTCGAACGGCTTGACGACCTGGCGGATCCCCGCGGCGCTCGCGGCCCCGAGCTCCCGGGACGACGACCACTCGCCCGCGTGCGCGACGCGCAGCATGCCCCTGTCCGTCTTCTCGACCCGGTCCAGGGCCGCCTCGGCCGCGAACTCGAGCGCCCAGCCCGAGGCCGGGTGGCGGACCGACACGAGGTTGTCGCCAAAGATCATCTCGGGGATGGGGACGCCGACGCGCTCACACATGTCGTCGATGGCGCCGCTCTTGGAGATGGGCAGCTTGCGCGACGACACCTCGAACAGCTGCAGCTGCCCGCCGCCGCCCTGCGCCGCCGCCGTCCGGTGCGTCCGCGTCGCCTGGCCCAGGAGCGACGGCGTCGGGAAGGGCTCGCGCGTCGATGTCACGTGGAGGGCCATGTTGTCGTTTGGTTGGGGTTTTTTTTTTTGGTTTGGAGCCCTCGCCGCCGCCGGAGATGGGACCGCCGGGGTTTTGAGTTGAGGTTTGTTTCCTCAAAAGTGGCGGGCGTTTCGGGTAGCCGCCAACTTGGACTCCAGAGGAGATAGGGTTGATGGCGATGTGACGATGATGGGTTGCTTTTGGAATTGGCCAGACAAAACGCTGAGCTGCCCGATGCCAATGTCTTTGTTCGTCCAATCACCAATTCATGGCAATAGCTGCCCTCTACCTGTCGAGTTGTGCTATGAGGTAATGGAGGGGCTGTTTTGGTGGGGTTGTGCTGGATATAAGCCGGGCTTCAGCGCGCCTGTCACTATGGAGACCCCTGACTTGTGCCTGTATCAGCATCATACGGCACTAGCACAACGGCTGTAGCACCTCCAGGCAACCTCTGCACCTGCAATAACCAAGTGATGACTACATTGAGAGGAGGTCTCCCGGGATACACAAATGGAAAGTACATGGAGATGGCCAGGCGCCAGAATACGCTGCCAAGCGCAACTGCCGAGCGTTACCAGCAGATCCTCCGTTGCGGGTGGCGCCTTTCTAACCAGAAGCTTGGGTGGGTTTCCGAAGCCGCCTTGTCTGTTCTTGCTTCAGAAGGCAGCACTTTGTGCGATTGGGACATTGGGTCGATGGCTAGACAAGGTTTTGGGGCTTTCATCTTTCTCCGACTAGCCCGAGAATTAAACATTGACATATCTCCGTTTGCGAGGCTTCTCATTGTAAACCGGGTTGGCAGGCTCGTGGTGGCGGCCATCATCTCCTAGAGCTGCGAGCCATATTCCCACAGGACAGCATCATTGGTGTCTAGAGACGAATATACTCCTACCTAGGCAGCCCCTTGCCAGCCACAGCAGCACCAGCAAAGCGACAGTTCGAGGCGCAAGAGCAATAGCAGCCTGGTGATCATGCACATCGACGACAAACACGCCAATAGGATACGCGCCATCTGGAATGGAGGTTACTACGAGACCTCAAGCGCGTGGGACATCCACACGCTTCTCTTATCTTTCCCGAGCAACAAAGGGGGCCTGGGCGAGAAACGCCGTCCTGGCTGGCACGAGGTGCCTGTCGGGACTGAGAGAAAAGAGGCTGCAGAGGCTTTCGTTCGAGAAGTTCTCCGGAAACAGCGCCCGGACGAGGTGGTCATCAAACCCCTGCCCGCTAGGCCATCACGGTTCCAGAAGCTCTTCCCTGACCGGGGAAGGGACGCAGTCAGCGAGGAAAGCGACGATACAGAGCCTGCGCAGGAGGCTGCGGAGCCCGACAACATGAAGTACCACGCATACCCGGTGGTCACATCCAACTCCTGGGCTGGAGGTGTCCAGAACCCGGCGACCTGCGCTCAGCCGGATGGCTGGTGGCGAGCTCAGGACGGAGCGGGTGGCCCGGCCCTTCAAAGCCAGCCCGTTCCGGAAAACCGGCATCTTGACATTGCTACCACGGTGGCTGACACACCCAACACGGTACGAAATCACCAACTGATATCATGGATAAATGGAGACGAGGCCGGAGAACTAACAGAGCTCGGTGACCAGAGTACCCGCCGACGGGTTGCCCCCAATATAAGCCTGTGGTCAGATGACGAGGACGACATGGTCGAGGACTCTTCCTCTAGGGAACCGGCCCCTACGGCCTTGACCGGCACCGGAATCGGTCTTGGAAGCCTGCCTGGAAAGAAGCATGAGAGATGGATGGTGCGGTAAGTATTTGATCGGCGTCCCGTCATACACTTGTTCGTTCCGGAGTGAGGTTCGCTGACAGAGCATGGCCCTCTATCAAAGTGACTGGCGTCGCCCTGCGCCGCCGACCTAAAGTCCAGGGTCCAAGCTGGCTCTGGAATAATGAGAAGATGAGAATTGGAGTGGCAGGATACCTGCCGAAAGGTGGGTGAGAGCCACGCAGCGAGGGAGAGGGGGTATTGTAACATGGAATAGCGTGTGTAGGTCCACATTGGCTGGTTTATCAGGTTAGGAGTTGGTTCTTTGAGAGTAAAAGGTTGTTGTATTGTTCAAATGATTGGGATTGGGCTGAAGTTGGAAGGCGGGGCAGAGTCTGAGCGTCCAAGACAAGTATAGCTTGGCTCGGTCACTGTGGCAACCATACAGCCTCAGCGGCTACATGCACAGCCAAACAACGGAACGGCGACAGGGGACGTATGCATAGAATAAATAATACAAACCGACCCCCCATATTGACCGACATTGTGGTTGCATACAAATCGTCAGGGCTGGGGAAATCCAGACTTTGCAATCAGCACCACCACATCCCACCACCGATTACCAGCCTCCAATTTGGGCTCTTGTCCTTTTGCAAGCTGCTTCGATTTCGTCACAGTCCCCCCCTAGGCTCGGCATCGCACACCGCATCTTTCACCATCGGCCACGATGGCATCCCGGACGCTGGAGTCCCGCTTCGAGCGGATGTCGGTCAACGACGAGAACGACCCCGACAACGGAGGCCGGACCTACCAGAAGTCCAAGGTCAGTGGCGGTTGAGAGACGAGCAGGAGCCAGGACAGGATAGAGAGGAGAACCGCCCGTGAAGCTCACACCGTAGCCTCGACTATACAGGTCATGGCCACGTCCTCCCAAGCCGCCGGCGGCGCCAACGGCAACAGGCCAAATATATTCAAGGTCGCCCTGCAGACGCAGAGCGCAAACACGGTGACTTCAGTCACGCTGCCATCGCAGGCGGCACAACGGAAGGGCGCGGCGGCGGCGGTGGCGGCGGCGGCAGCGGCCGAGCGGGCGTCGTCACGCAGCTCGGACGAGCTCGCGTCCAGCTCGGCAGCGGCGGCGGCGGCGGCCGAGAAGCAAGACCAGCTCTCGTCGGTGCCCAAGCAGTTCCATCTTGGCATGTTCGAGATCGGGCGGCCGCTGGGCAAGGGCAAGTTCGGGCGGGTGTACCTGGCGCGGGAGCGCAGCAGCGGCTTCATCTGCGCGCTCAAGGTGCTGTACAAGTCGGAGCTGTCGACGGGCAGCGTCGAGAAGCAGGTGCGGCGCGAGGTGGAGATCCAGACGAACCTGCGGCACCCAAACATCCTCAAGCTGTACGGGCACTTCCACGACAGCAAGCGCATCTTCCTCATCCTCGAGTTCGCGGCCAAGGGCGAGCTGTACAAGCACCTGAGGCGCGAGAGCCGGTTCCCCGAGTGGAAGGCGGCCCAGTACATCGCGCAGATGGCGAGCGCGCTCCGGTACCTGCACCGCAAGAACGTCATTCACCGCGACATCAAGCCCGAGAACATCCTGGTCGGCATCCACGGCGAGCTCAAGATTTCCGACTTTGGCTGGAGCGTGCACGCGCCCAACCGCCGCCGCGCCACCCTGTGCGGCACCCTCGACTACCTCCCGCCAGAGATGATCAACTCGGGCACCAAGGACAAGAGCTACGACGAGAAGGTCGACCTCTGGAGCCTCGGCGTCCTCACTTACGAGTTCCTGGTCGGCGAGGCCCCCTTTGAAGACACCCCCGTCATGACGCACAGGAGGATAGCAAAGTGCGACATGACCATCCCGTCGTTTGTGAGCCCCGAGGCTCGTGACTTGATCAAGAAGGTGTGTGTCTGTCTCGCGTTGATTTCGGCCTTGTTTCGGCAGGCTGCTGACAAAAGCTCTTTGATCTCTAGCTCCTCGTCCTGGACCCCGAAAAGAGGCTCGGACTTGACGCCATCCAGGAGCACCCCTGGATCATCAAGCACTGCGTCAAGGGGGAGCGGGCTTCGAACCGCGAAAAAGCTTCGTCACGCGATTAATGACCTAATGACGCACGCATTTCTCTTATATATGGCATCCTCATTCTTCACTCTCCCCTTCTCTTGTCATCGCGAAGGGGAGTAGGCGTTTCTGGGTCTATCATGGTGTTGGTAATGTGTCATGTGCATCTTTGCGCTTGGGGTTTCGGAGTTTGATTCTTGTCTTTTTTTTTGTTCCCGCTGGGACCGAGGTTGTCGACGCACTACATGGCTCCGAATTGCGATTTCATGGTGATAATATTACAAAGATTACAATACGACGTGGCTTATGTCGTCGTTACCGATATACTTCGTCAAACGGCCTTGTGTCTGCGAAGCAAGAGTCCCAGACCTGGTTGACGGCTTTGCTGGCGTGTTCCTCGTCTTTACAGGTTGGCCGCGCCATGACCGACTGTATCGCCCGAGATCGAACGCAGTTTTGGAACTGTTGTGTTAGGGTCCAGTGACCCCTCGTGAACGTCTCTCGCGTCCATCTACACTCGCCGCTGAGCATAGACGCTCGGATCTATGAGGGCGATCCCGCAGGACAAAAGTCAGTGGGCTGAGCAGACGGACGGGAAGGCGGTGGGGTAGAAGAGCGGGAAGCCAAAACAATACCTCTGTGCAGGCGGCGTGCTTCAGGTCCTTGCGGCCGCCAAAGTCGACCTTCCAGCGCAGGTGGTCCCAGGCGTGCACCATCTCGTGCGCGAGGGTGTCCTCGAGGTGCCTGCGGTCCCGGACGTTGTTGGCGCAGATGCGGATGCCGTGGGCCGGGCTGAAGCCGCCGCCCTGGCGCCGCACCGTCCCGTCCTCGGCCAAGCGGGACGGGCAGCGGCGGCAGACGACGTTGCCGGCGTCGAGCGTCCCGTTGAGGGATGCGACGCGCTCGCGCATGAAGCGCACGACGGGGCTGAAGCGGAACAGCCAGTCGCGGTACTCCTCACAGCGGCGGCAGTCGCGCTCCTCGTTCTCGGCCTCGCGCCACTCGCGGTAGTGGAACTGGCCCTCGCGCGTCATGCGGCCCGACAGGATGCTAAAGTAGTTGACCCACCACTGCGTCTTGGGGTCGAAGCCCGTCCGCGCCGGGTCGTTCTTGCGTATGCCGCCCGCGAACGCCTCGCCGCCCGCTGCCGCCGGCGTTGCGGTGGCGGCTGGTGGTTGCTGCTGCTGCGGCGGCGGCGGGGTTGTGGTTGATGACGACATGGTGCTGGAAGTGTCGTGGCTGGTGGAGCAGTTCGCCCGGGGGGGAGGGATTCGAGGTCAGGCGAGGCCGTCGGAGGCCGACTCCGACAGGGCGTGTAGTCGGGCGCAGTAAATCGGACGTCAGGTGCTGGACCAAGCCCCTTTCGCTGGAAGTCTCGTGCAAGTGTGAAGAAACAGCTCAGAAAAAGAGGAGAAATCGAGCAGATAAAGCTGGAATAAGAACCAGCACCAAATGGCAACGAACCCCTTCTCCGCCTTGCTTGTTTCCTCCTCCTGTCTGCTCTGTCCAAGTGTCTTTGCTGCTACACGATAACTCGTCGGTTCTTTTCAGCGATAATCATTGAATCGCTTTTTGTCTTGCTCCTCGATCGTCAATTGGCTTTCTTCTGGCGGGCGGTGAACGTCATTTTCACAATTCTGCCCCCGACTCCGGCGGCCACGACCCCTGTTCCAGCCTCGAAGCCCTGCGTAATTGGCGGGGAAAGCTGCCCAGGAATCGCGAGCAGGGAGTCGAGTGGGCGCTCCATGCCGCATCACACAACACACTCTGACAACACAGCGCCCTACCCGCCCTTGCATTGACAGCGGTCGCGACAGGGGAGAAAAATACCCTGATAAAAATGGACCCCGAGGGCGTGGAACGACCCTGTGAGAACAAAACCCCGGTCATCCTGCTTTCCAGCCCTCGAAGCTATGGCGTGTTGTTGCCAACCTGTCTATGCCGTCGGTGGAGATGATCTCGACTTTTCAGCTGCTCTTTTTCACACAAGATAGCGATTATTGGGACTGAAACAGGAACACTTACGCCATTCACATCAGCAGCAATGAGGGCTCATCGAACACACCATGGCACCGTGGTGCTAAAGCTGGGTAGGTTTTCAGTGTTCAACCATCTCGTTGGGATCAGCTTCGGGACCCCTTTTTTTATTACTCGCAGCGAACTCACCGACGATATGGAAACTCATCTCTTTCTCTGCAGGCACCAGCTCTATCGTGGACGAAAAAACACGAAAGCCTTTGCTATCAATCTTGACTCTCATCGTTGAAACGGCGGTTCAGCTCAGGGAGGATGGCTATAAAGTCATTATTGTATCGTCGGGCGCTATCGGCGTCGGTCTGCGCCGCATGGATATGGCCGAGCGTCCAAAGAAGCACCTATCTAAGCTTCAGGTGCGTTCTCACTTTACTTTCGTTGATCATCAGGAGCACAATGTATAAGAGATCATCTGCTTACACCAAAGGTCCTCCGATGACGGAACCACGATTTCTAGGCTCTGGCTGCCATTGGTCAATGTCGTCTCATGAGTCTATGGGACAGCCTCTTCACCCAGCTAAGGCAGCCCATCGCCCAGATCCTGCTCACCAGGAATGATATTGCCGACGTAAGTTCAAAGATGTTAAATTTTATCTCTGCAATTAAATGCTGCCCATACCTCTATCGGGGGCCGCCATCTCCTGAGCTTACGGTGTAGGTCCGTGTTAGTCGAGTCGGTACTAAAATCATTTCTATCTCAGAGGACAAGATACCTCAATGCGCAAAATACCGTCATGGAACTTCTCGACATGGGCGTAATCCCCATCGTTAACGAGAACGATACACTGGCCGTGTCCGAGATCAAGTTTGGCGATAACGATACGCTGTCCGCTATCACGGCCGCCATGGTCCACGCCGACTTGCTCTTCCTCATGACCGACGTCGACTGCCTCTACGACAAGAACCCTAGGACTTTCAAGGACACCGCAAAGCCGATTCACGTCGTCGAGGATATCAGCTCCCTGGAAGCTGATGGTATGTTTGCTTTTCTCGACGAGCCCCCTTGCACAGTGCGCTACGAACCCCTCATTCCTCTCGCCATGGCTGACGGCATGTTCCAGTCTCCTCCGCCGGCAGCTCGCTCGGCACAGGCGGCATGTACACCAAGATCGTCGCCGCAAGGCTGGCAACCTCGGCGGGCGTCACCACCATCATCGCCAGGGCCTCCAACCCGGGCAACATCCGGTCCATCGTCAAGTACCTCGAGAAGCCGTCCTCACCCGCTACTGCTGCCGACGCGGGGGCCGCCGGGGAGTCGGCGGCGGCGGCGGCGGAGGCAGAGGAGGAGGAGGAGCCCCCGCTGCACACGCGCTTCCTGCCGTCGACGGACCCGATCCGGGACCGGTCCTTCTGGATCCTGCACGGGCTCAAGCCGCACGGCACCATCTACATCGACCAGGGCGCCCACCGCGCGCTGCTCGGCAAGGCCGGCCTGCTCCCCGTCGGCATCGTCGACGTCGAGGGCTCCTTTGCCCAGCAGGAGGCCGTCCGCCTCGTCGTCGTCGACCGGCGCCTGCCGGCGCCCGACGCCGAGGGCCGCCTGTGGGAGGGCCCCGCGACCGAGGTCGGGCGCGCCCTCGTCAACTACTCGTGGTTCGAGATATCCAAGATCAAGGGCCACCAGAGCGCCGAGATCGGCCAACTGCTGGGCTACGCCGACAGCGCCTACGTCGCGCAGCGGGAGCACGTCTGCTTCTTTACGAGGGAGAGCCGGCCCGTGTCTCCTGCTCACGACACTGACGGTATGACTAGGGGCATTGGCGGCTATGAGGCCACGTCCTGAAGGAGGAGTTTCTGCGTCCTTGTCTTGCGGGATGGCGGGGTGAGTGTGGAGATACAAGGCGGAGACTAGGGATATGACACGTTTGGTGGTAAAGATCTGTTTGGGCAGGTAGTTGGTTTGGTATCTACAGGACGGCACTATTGTTACCGCTTTCGCCAAATGATATAATGACCTAGAAATGAAGCAAATTCCCACAAAACGCCGTGACTCCGCCCTATTCTCAGACTTGTATTTTTGGTTTTCCTTCTTACCCCCAAGCGATGAGCTTTCCAAACACAAAAGACATCCATCCCTCAGCCCGTGGCAAATAGAGTGTCCTCGTCCCGGAGGTACTCGCCGCAGTCGGACTGTCGGAAACATGTAACGCCGGTGGGATCCAGGCGCCTCGCGTCGGCGGTGCTCTTGGCGGTCAGGCCGAAGCCGAGGGGGACGTCCTGCATGTTGTAGACGACGATGCCCTGGTGCTCGGGGCAGTCGTCCGTCTGGCGGCCGACGTGCGCCTTGACGACTGCAAGGGGGGTTCAACGAGAGGTTAGCCGACCCGCCATCGACGGGGCCCGAAAACAGATATGGTCTAGCGCTAGGGAATTCCTTACTGTTGCCGCCGTAGAGGAAGGGCATTTCGCCGTTGGACCGGACCCACATCTTGTAGCGGGCATGCTCGGAGAGAATCGGCACTAGAACGGACGGGATGTGGTGAGCAAGTCGGCTCGCACCGCGGCGGGATGATGCCACAGTGAGGCGGGGTGAGTTGTTGCTTTGCGCGAGACTTACGGGCGGTGATGTGCAGACGGAACTTGCCAGACTATTATCAATCGAGGGCGGCGTGGGCATTTGCGTCAGCATAATCCTGTTCGGCGCAGCGCAGCGGGTTTCCCTCCCCCTCCCTAGAGCTCCCTCCAGGCGCAGGCCTATCTCACCTTCGTAAACTTGCCCAGGCAGGTGCCCAGCGACATCAGCTTCTCCCTCGCGATCGAGGTCGCGAGGTTGGCTATGCTGAGCCTCACGTAGTAGCTAGAAGCATCCAGGCTCGGTCAGTCATTGCCCGTCTCAACTGCCCACGAAAAAAAAGAGGGGGCCTCGAGGAATGTAAAGCGCGGTAGGGGTCGCGGACGCACACTCGGTCTTTGTGAAGGCGAAACACATATCTGTCGCCATCCTCGAGCGGCGCAATCAGGCTCTTGAGGGAGTTGCCTGTGTAGTTGGCCAGCTTTGCTAGCAGGGTCTGCGTTTCCGTATCCGTAAGGGGTCTCATTTTGTCGGCTGTTGTTTCTCGATCGTCTATGATGTCGACGGGCAAGGGGAAATGGCGGCGCAAGGAATCGATGCTTCCCGTCTTGCAAGCGGCCGCCGTCGCGCGGCCGAGGAAAAAAAACACGCCCCACCGAAGTGATAAGATAAGAGCTTGTTCGATGGTTGATGCCCACTTTTACCCGCAGCTAGCCCCTGGTCTCGCCCGTCAGGGGTCAACAGAAGTTCGGATCAGAGGGAGACCCAATGAGCACAGAAAAGCCAAAGAAAATGCAACTCTCACTGGAGTGCCAAGTCTATTGGGCATCAACCCTGTCTATGTGCGTGTGCTTGGGTATCTCTCTATACCGTGAAAAGTACTGGGTCCAATGATAAAGGGAATATTGAAGCAGCGGCGTGTTGATGGCCATATCTCTCAGCCCTTCCATCCATAGTTGCCCTTAGTTTGCCGCTAGGATACCTGCGGCGTCTGGCGCCGAGCTGTGATCCATCTTGCCGTCGTTCCTCCGGCGCGTTTCGGCGTCCTCGGCCCGTTTCCTAGCTCGCTTCTGCTTATCGTGGTTGATGTAGCTGCCGTACCGAATGCTGCCCACCGAGATGAGACCCATAAAGATGAGACCAAGGATGCCCCTACGAATAAGGACCCAGCGCAGACCTTCAATGTCAGATTTTGCGTCGCTGGTCAGTTTGACGCTCATCTTGTAGTGGATTTGTTGTATCTGTGACTGAGGTTAGTAACGGGCACCCATTCCATAAAGTAAAGATTTTAGAAGATGGCCCACATACAACGCTCTCGGCCGCCTTTTGCTCCTCCCGAACAGCCATCCTCCGGTCATTAAACATGCCCTTAACGCTGTCGTTGAGCGTCAGCAGCTCCTGGTTGAGCGACTGGTTGGCGATGTCGGCTTCGTGCTGGATGTGCGTGCGCTGCTGGCGCATATGCTCGTCGGCGATCCGGCGGTTGTTCTTGACTTCGGTGCTGAGCTCCGAGCAGGCGGCGCGGAATAGGTACGTCTCGTTGTCCACGTCGCGCCGGCTTACGAGCCCCTCCTGCGCGACGTCCAGGTTCTGCGCCAGCAGAGCCCGCACCGCCTTCATGGCCGTGATGGACTGCTCCTGCGTGTATCCGCCAGACTCGAGCCGCTTGACCAGGGAGTATGTGTCGAAATGGTGAAGGTACGGCGGCGTCGTCAGGTGAGGGGGCGGCTTCTTGATCGATTCGGGCGCGCCGCCCATATGCAGTATCGCATCCATCGGACCGTTTGCGTGCTTCTTGGCGCTACTATCGGCGGACGCCTGGTCGGGCTGCTGCGGGGGTGGCTGCACGGGAGCGCCGAGCTCGATGACAGGCGGTAGACCCGAGGCGGCAGCAGTCTCGGCGGCAGCAGGCCCTGCGCCAACAGCCTGGTACCTTGTCGTGCCCCCATTCGAGCTCTTCTCGGATGCGGAGGGCGGCCCCGGCTTGGGCGCAGCGCGCCTGTGTCTCCCTATCCGGCCCGTTTCCCCCCTTGGCCCGGATGTCGAGACGGTTGAGTCACCGCTGCCGCTCAGGGGCATCGGCTCGACGGCCTTGCCATGCCGGGCGACAAAGGTAGACTGCTTGGGTGAGGTCGCTGAGGCGAAGCGCGCGCCCCGTATGCGTCTTCCCACTTGCGCGGTTTTTCGTGCTGCGCTTCGGCGCGCCAGCTGCGTTGCTTGGGACGCCGACTCGCCGAGACGAGGGGCACGGAAGAGGTGCGGGTACAGGAAAGTCAACCTCGTTGTCGACATTGCGGGAGGCGATTCGTCTGAATTGATGGCATTCGGTGATGTGTGAAAGGATGGAACCAGAACAGGAGCAGGCAGGCGGGAACTTGTAGACCAAGGTTGCTCGCAAGGGTGAAGCCAAGCACAGGCAAGGGCTCGGTAAATGCCGGCATTTCTCAGGGGCCCACGCAGACAGTGGAGCGTGCCTGTTGTCACTGCAGCCGGCAGCGGGTGTTGGTGACGTGTGACGTCCACTGTGACGTGTGGTCTGCGGTGCCCACTTTGAAAGGGTTAGGGTCACGCATTCCCCTGACAGCCCAATCATTGTGCCCCTGAATCCAGTCAGGCCGTCACGCACAGCCAAGACAAACGACCTTTGGAAGACAGGCAGAGGTACCTAGATACCCATCATGATTACGAGTCTGCACCCTTCCGACGCTCTAGGACCTGCAATACATCGGCCGCGCTATTGGCATCCCCCTTGCGCTTCTTACCCCCGCGTTTCCTCTTCGCCTTACCGCCGCCACCTTGCCCTTCGTCGCCTTCATCGCCCCAGACAGCTAGCTTGACGTCTCGCTCCTCCATTTCGGCTTCGTCCTCCAGCCTGTTGGTCCCAAAGCCCATATCCAGGTCCTCTGCATCCCTGTTGCTATCCTGCAACATCTTCTTTAGGCGTGCCTCCCTCTCGGCCGCCTGTTGCTCCTCCTCCGACTTGGCCTCGGCGTTGAGAGCCTTGGCCTTCCGTAGAGCGGCCAGGACTGCGGGGTCGCTGGCTGCTGTGATCTTCCGAGACTCCTCCGAGACCAGACCAGTCTTGGAGTGCTGGAAGTAGTTTTTGGGTGCTGCTGCTGGTGCCTCTGGCCCCTTGGGCACTGGTGCAGACCCAGATGCTTTGTTGTCCCCATCTGTCCCATCTCCAGAGATATCCTCAATACCTCTCTTTTTCGAGCTCCCCTCGTCGGAGGCAGCCTCTCCTTCCTCTTCAGAGCTGTCATCATCCGAGCTAGAGTCCATTCCGGCAAGCGGGTTGTACTCCCCGACATCCGCAAAAATGTCATCATCGTCCTCCTCCTGCTTCTTGGCCTCCTGCTCCTCCTGCTTTTTCCTGTAAAATTCGGGAACTTCCATCCCCAGTACCTCGGTTTTCTTTACGGGGACCACGTCGAGGGTTTCCGCAGGTGCATCGTCCTTGGCCATCTTCCGGACCTTGCGCTTCTCGTGGCCGTCCTCATCAACGATGATCATGACCTCCCTGCCTTTGCTGTCCCGCTCTATCCTCGTGCCAGGGGTCTTTTGTGTTCCAATCTTCTTGAACTTGGTGCCTAATGCGGATTTCTCCTTGGCCTTGGCAGCTTCTCTCGACGCTTTCAGCTCGGCGAGAAGTTGGTCCCGTGTGCGTCTCCCACTTGGCCCAACCGGCTTGGTAGCAAGCTGGCCCTTCTTTTGCGTCTTTTCCCTTGTGACTGCCTGCACCTCCGCCCCTTCTAGTCGCTCAAAAGCATCATCGACGTCGGCGGCGGCGACAGCTGTATCTTGTGTCGCATCGTCCTTTGGGCTGTCCTCCAGCGATTCCTCTTCGGGCTCAACCTCGCCCTTGCGTGCCTTGGCCAGTAGCTCAAAGTCGAGGCCCTTGGAGGTGACGCTGCTTGGCAGATTTGCCTCGCCCACCTCATCTCTTATCCTCTTGTACGTGTCCTCATCGATCTCGCCACTCTCAAAGGACTGCTGAATGGCTCGTAGCTTCGCGGCGTGGGCCTCTGCTTCCTCCTGCTCCTGCCTGATTTTGGCCCTGTCGACGTATCCCTGGGCGAGCCTGCTCCCTTTCGGCGCCGAAGTTCGGAGTCGCTTTTGTTGATGCTCGGCCTGATCGCGCTCCGCGAGCTGTTTGGCAAAGAGGTTTTGGGTGTTCACACCCAGCGATCGCGGGGTCATGGGGATGCTCGACTTCAGCCTCGAACCCAGGGCGGCAGCCACAGTGGGCTTTGCGCTAGAAGATGTGGCATTGGAGGAGTTGGTTGGCGTTCCGCCTGGGTTGGTGTTCACCAGCCTGCGAAATTGGTCGTTGTTCATGTTTCCCAATCCAACCCAGCAGCCATAATCTAACGGATGTCGAAGCTGAGATGGGGAATCAAAGCGACAGGTCTGTCACACATACGGAACTTCGAGGTCGTCAACGCGTCGGTGGGTCCAGCTGCCCTGAACGGCAGGGGTATGTGGGTCCGAACCTCCCGTCCGAAGATGTGGGGTTCTAGGCGCACGTGTACCTCGCGTTTGATTCGCGCCATCAAACCCCAGATGCAACCACTTAACGCGACGTGCTTTCTAACTTCCGGGTTTCCCGGCACAGTTAGAGGCCGTCGCTTTCAGCTCTCGACGCCGAACCGCCCAGGCCCACCAGGCAACAAGAATGAGCGTCCCCGACGTCCTGCTGTTCGGTCGAGGATGGTTCCATCGCCTGCCTGGGCAGACATGAATAGTTATGACATTCATTGCCCTCATCTCTGCAGTTACCACCGCCTAGAGCTTACCGCAATCACTGCTCCCATCCACCATGGGCAGCCGCCTCGAGGAAAACTCGGCCGCGGTGCGGAAGCGGATCGAGAAGCATAAATTCACCGACGAGACTGGCGAGGAGTATGAAGCAAGCGCTTTTGGCGGGTTTGGCGACTACTTCCGGCGAAAGAAGATCAAACTCCAGAACCTTGATGCACAGATTCGCGCAAACGCCCCTCCCGACACCCCACAGATCTTCAAGGGCGTCGTCGCCCATGTCATGGGCTACACGCAGCCGTCTTTGCAGGTCCTACACAAGGAGCTGGTCCAGCATGGCGCCGGATTTCTGCAGTATCTAGACTACAAGACCATGGCCACCCACATCATCGCCTCGGTCCTTCCGCCCAAAAAGGTCGTCGATTACAACCGGTACCGCATGGTAAAGCCTCAGTGGGTTGTTGACTCGATCAGTGCTGGCAAGTTGCTTCCATGGCAAGACTACCGCGTCTTTGACGAGGGGCCCGGCCAGAAGACGCTGAGGTTCGACGGCGGGAAGGTGCTTGCAGAAGCATCCCAGAAGTCACAGCTCCGCTATCGCGAGCATACCCAAGACGGCTTCTACGCGAAGCAGATGCAGAAGCAGGCCGCGGATTATATGGCTTCTACTTCCAGTCTTGCATCTGCCTCTGTCACGCCACGTTCGGGGTCTTCGGTGCTGCTAGGAACGACGACACGCAATGACGGGCCGGAGAACACGAACCGCCACCACGGCATTGGAGGTGTCAGAGACATATCTTCGCCCAGTCCTGCGCCACCGTTGATATCGCGCAAGTCAAGACAGCTCGCTCATTCCAAGGATGCGGTCGAGGACGATGATACTGGCCTCGTGAACTGGACTGAGAATGCCGACGCGGTCTCGAACCCATATACCGGACGGCCCGAAAATCGAGCCGATATTCTGCAGCGTGAGGTGGCACATGACGACAGCGATAACCGAGCAGCTCGGAGAGCGATAACGTCGGAGGAGCACAACGCCATGCTCCTAAAAGACCCCAAGATCTGGAAGTCGTCAACGGCAAACCCTGATTTCTTGAAGCAGTTCTACTCGGAGTCGCGTCTTCACCACCTGTCGGCCTGGAAGGCTGAACTCAAATCCAAGATGCAAAAAATGGCAGCAGACAGGGGAGGTTCCGCAAAAGCGAACAAGCGCAAGCCCGGGTCCCGCCGCTACATCATGCATGTCGATTTTGACAGCTTTTTCTGCGCAGTGTCCCTCAAGAGCGCGCCAGAGTACAAGACAAAGCCGGCTGTTGTGGCTCATAGTACCGGGACGGGTTCCGAAATCGCATCTTGTAATTACCCGGCCCGGGAATTCGGTGTCAAAAACGGCATGTGGATGAAGCGTGCTCTGGAACTGTGTCCTACCATCAAGGTCCTGCCATACGACTTTCCCGCCTATGAGGAAGCGAGCCAGCTGTTCTACGAGGCTATCTTGAGTGTTGGTGGTGTCGTCCAGAGCGTCAGCGTCGACGAGGCTCTCGTCGACGTCACAAGCATTGTTCTGAACGAGCCAAGTTCCGGTGGGGTCGACCTCGACGATGGCAGTGTCCGGAGAGAGCAGGAGAAGGCAGACGAGATAGCCTTGGGCCTGCGGAACGAGATCAAGCAGAGGACAGACTGTGACGTCTCTGTTGGCATCGGGCCGAACATTCTTATGGCCAAGGTTGCGCTGAGAAAAGCCAAGCCGGCTGGACAGTACCAGGTGAAGGGGGAGGAAATCCTCGCCCTGATTGGCGAGCTGAATGTCGAAAGCCTCCCTGGCGTGTCCCACAGCATAAAGGGAAAGCTGGAAGAGGCTGGCGTCAGGCTTGTCAAGGACGTGCGAGAACTATCGAGGAGCAAGCTCGCCGCGATCCTCGGGCCAAAGACGGGCGAGAGGCTCTGGGAATACGCGCGCGGGGTCGACAAGGTCGAGGTCGGTGACCAACCTCTCCGGAAATCGGTTTCGGCCGAAGTCAACTGGGGCATCCGGTTTGTCAACCAGCAGGAGGCGGAAGACTTCGTGATGAATATGTGTAAAGAGCTGGAACGGCGGCTGGTTAACGAGGGAGTCAAGGGCAAGAGCTTCACGATGAAGATCATGCGCCGGGCGGCGGATTCTCCGCTTGACCCTCCAAAGCATCTCGGGCACGGGAAATGCGACACATTCAACAAGTCTGTCGGGTTTGGGATCGCAACTTACAGTGCCGAGTTTATTGGGAAAGAGGCCGTCTCTATCTTGAGAGGATTCAACTTTACTCCTGGCGATCTACGGGGCATCGGGGTGCACCTGACCAGACTGGAGCCGATAAAGGGGGCTTCGACTGGAGGGCGAGAGAGCAGCCAGAAGACGCTCACGTTCGGCGCCTTCACAAAGCCGCCTGCGGCCAAGAAGCCCCAGACAGACGCCATCGAGGACGATGCCAGAGGCGCCGTTTCCGCAAGGACTAGCTCGCCTGGCGCGCGGCGATCCTCGCTCAGCCGAGAGATGTCCGAGGACCCCATCTCGGTCGACCCAGTCACGCCGCGTAAATCGCGTGCTAGCTCCATCCATCCCGCTCTCGCTCTTACCAAGGCCAGGGAGGCGGACTCGCAGGCAAGAACGCCCCTGAATGTGAACGGGACACAGTTCATCATGCCGCCTCATCCCGATCCCGAGGTTACCGCGGCACTGCCCAGAGATGTCCGCAGCAGGCTGTTGGCACAAAAGCCTGCCGCCTTAAGATCACGAGCGGCAAGCCCTACCGCTCGTACGGAAATTCCAATCCCAGATATTGACCCCGAGGTCTTCGATCAGCTGCCGGACCATGTAAAGGCCAAGGTGCTCGAGGCCTCCAAGAGACGGGGTGGCCAAACCCTACTGTCACAGTCGCCACGAAAGGATCGCATTATCAACTTGCCGCCGCAGCGCACGACGCCGACCAAGAGAGACCGCGGGGTCCGAGAAATGCTCAGTCGAGCGCGCGAGCGACAAAACGATGCCGAGGCCGGCCTGCTCCAAACGAACCTCGTGAAAGCGGCGCCTCGGCGCGACAACGACGGTGCAGTTGCTGCGGATGACGACTTGGAGGGCATGGATGTGGGATTCCTTGCAGCTCTCCCAAAGGATGTGCGAAACGAAGTAATCGCCGACCATAGACGACAAGGGGCGGCGCAGGCAGGAGACGTCGCCATTGAGGTGCCTCAGAGAGACGAGGCAACGACAGGGTCGAGGGACGAAGGGGAGATGGATATTGATCAGGAGCTGGGAGGGGCCGAAGGAACAGGAGAAAGAGGTCAGGAGCACCAAGAGTCGAGATGGGATTATATGATGGAGGAGGAGGAGGAGGAGGAGGAAGTGACGCTAGAGTTCCCAGGCCGTCGGCCGCGGGTAGGCTTCTCGCAGGAGTCGCTCACAAGCCTGCCCGAGATCAAGACCATGCTGCACCTCTGGCACCAGGACACGCTGGACACGGGGCCGCACCAGCGCGACACGGGCATGCTCGGGGACTACCTCACCAGGGTGGTGCTGGAGGAGAGGGACATGGAGAAGGCGCAGCTGCTGGTGGCCTGGATGGACTGGCTGGTGGAGGATGACGAGGGCGCGGGCGAGGGCAAGAGGCGGTGGCGGCGCATGGTGGACAGCGCCCGCAGGAGCGTCCAGGAGGCCATGCAGAGGAGAGGGCTCGGCCCGCTGAGGCTGTGATGGCCGGGCGGGCGCGGGATAGTGTCGGTACCCCAACACAATTCACGACGGACGTGCGGGCTTTTTACGAACCAGTCAAAATTCAACACATCACGCAAAGGCATTACAACTATGTATTTCGCTTGCTAGAGAGATCTAATCGAGTGTTGTCTATGTAGTGGTGCCCTCGCAGAGAGAGGGCTAGAGGAGAATACGCACTGTCGTAGCGACGCCAACAGCTATGGCGACAACGACAGACACGCCAGCAGCTGACCTTGGAGCTCCGTTGACATAGACCTAGCGAAGGGTATTGTCAGGTGGGCCCATCTTGATTCAAGGAGTGGAGGCAACGTACCGACAGCTTCATGGGCCCGCCGCATATCGACTTTTGGTCACCGTCGCAGGCCGTGTTGCATTCCGAATCGTCGAACTTGGTGGCGAGGACGGAGAGGCGGTTGCCACACCAGCATTCCCTGGGTAGATCACGAGTGTCAGTCGGGGAGACTCCAATTTCGTGGGGCTCTATGGTGAAAACCATAAAATCACCAGGCAACTCCACCCCGAACGTCTCCTCCTCCCTCCTCCTCCCTAGTCCCCACCACCACCACCACCACCACCACCACCACCAACGGAATCCCTTCCTCACCTGGAAAACTCGAGCCCGGCGTATTTGTAGGGCTTCTCGCCGCCGTCGCAAAAGTCGATGCAGGCCTGCACCGTCATGGAGCCCGGCGAGACGCGGTGCGAGCCGTCGAGCGCGCGCTCCCGCGCCGTGCCCGGCAGGTCCGTCGTCTCGTTGTAGCAGCCGCTGTACTTGAACTTGCTGCCCGCGGGCGGCGAGTAGATGGTCGGCTGCTGCTGCTGCTGCTGCTGCTGCGCCCGCGCCGGCGCTGGCGCGAGCAGCAGGAGCAGCAGCAGCGGTAGCGTCAGGATCAGCGTCAGGTGTAGCGCGCCCGGCACTGGGCCGAAGGAGCCGCGCGCCATTTTTTTTTTTTTCTTTCTCTTTCCTCGAGCGGTCGGGAGGGGATTGCTCTCGTCCTTCCGTTGGCGGCCTGAGAGTTGGGTCGTGCGGGGGGAGTGTTTTAGGTGACACGGGTGCGTGTATTCCTGCTTCCTGTTACCAAAGTGCGCCAAAGAAGGATTGAGAAAGAAAAAAAAGTCGGATCTGCAAGCAAGGCTGGCGTGGGTGTTGGGCCGGGATGCAAGCCAACGGAACAGCACGTCAACCTGCCCTTTGTTATCTCCCTCGACCCCCCTGCAAATCTGTTCCGGCGAGTATGCAGTCGTGATCGGGGCGAGGCAAATCAGCGGCGGGAAACCCCAACGGCAGCGGTCGACAAGCAAGAAAGTCCGGTGCGAGTGTTGGGGGAAGCAGAAAAGAGCGAAGCCGGCCGTTGTCGACTCGATTTCCCACTCCGCGTCGACAGGCCGCGCTACCGCCGGAGGAGGCGCACCTCCAACGCTGCCAATTTCCCCTGGTCAGGTCGAGCTGACGAGGAGGGCTGCGCTGGGCCCCAGGGTTCCTGAACCCCTGTCGAGCCCCACGCGCTACCTCCAGGGGCACATTTCCAGCTGCCTTGGCGCCAGCAAGAGCTGAGCACGCTACCAACACTACTATCAGGGATAACAACAAATACGATTCTATTTTCCGTCGTGTCTATGTCTATGTACTTTGTGCGTCGTTTATACGAGCCGGGTGCCCACCTCGGAGCATTTTGCTGCCGACAGCAGTGACGGGCCCATCAGGCATCGGCCGTCTTCTTGCTGGTACCCCAGCTGCCGACGAGGGCCATGGCCACCTCGCCGCCCTCGGCGATCCGCTCGTCCCGCAGCGCGTCCGACACGCATCTCCACGGGTCACGGCTGCCGCCCCACTTGAGCAGGCTGTCCTTGAGGTGCTCGCCGGCCTCGCGGCTGAGCGCGGCGCCGCCGCGGCCCGACGAGAAGACCACCTTCCAGGCCCGCTCCGCCAGCACCTGGTCAAACAGGTAGCTGTAGTAGGTGCTGCCGTATCCAAACAGGTGTCCAAAGAAGCCCTGCCAGCGCGTCGAGGACGGGTCCGGCGCGAGGCTGCTGTGCCGCATCTGCAGCGCGTGGTACGCATCCGTCGAGCTGAAGCCCGGCGCCGAGGCCTCGGGCGAGTGGTACACCTGGTCCAACATGGCCAGTATCACCTGGTAGTCGGTCCCGCAGCCCTCGAACCGCTGCGATCGCTGCAGCCGTTCCGCCACGAGCCCGTGGTCCAGCGCTTCGCCCGTCTCGTGGTGGCGCGCAAACAGCGCTAGCACCGACGGGTCCGCCGCAAAGTACTCCATCAGCGTCGACGGAAGTTCCGCCAGGTCTGTTGCGCACCGCGTGCCAGCCACGTTCTGGAACGACGTGCGGGCCAGTACCGAATGGATCGCGTGGCCCATCTCATGGAAGAGCGTCTCGAGCTGCGAGAAGCTCAGGAATGCCGGCCTCTCCCCGCCCATGCCGCCATCATCGCGCTGTGGGAAGTCGCACACTAGCGCAATCGTTGGGAGCTGCTTCAACACGCCGCCTGGAAGCCTAGATATGGCCATCCCATCGTTGGCCGCCATCTCGGGTGATTCAAACACGGGGCTTGTGTGGCCGTGCATGTGCTCGGTTTGCTGATCCGCCGCCGCCTCGGCCATCTCGCTCTCTGCAATCTCGCGCGAGCAGCGAATGGTAAAATGGGCTGGGTTCGGGGACTTGTCGTCGCGATAGAAGAGGTCGCAGTACAAAACAGCAACATGACCTTCCGTGTCCGAGACCACATCCAGGCGGCGAACATCAGGGTGCCACTTCTCGCCGGGGAGCGTCTCGCACGGCACGAACCGTATCCCATACAGACGACCAAAAAGCCTCGAGAGACCCTGCATCACGCTGCCCACCGAGAAGTAATTGGACAGTGCGTCATCGCGACTCGGTCCAGGCGGAGCCGAGAATGCGCCAACGCGATTGATATAGTAGTCTCTATCCCACGGCTCGAGCGCGGCGAAGGACTGGCCCAGATGGGCTCGCTTCTCTTGGGCCAGTTGTTCGGCCTCCTGTAGAACTTTGGGGCTGTTGTTCTGAGCCAGAGCAACCAAAAACTTCTGGGCCGACTCGGGGGTTTTCGCCATCATCCTGTCGCGGAGGGCCATGTGGCCGTAGCTTTCAAACCCGGCCAGTTCGGCGAGTTCGGCACGGAACTTTAGCAAGCCCTCGAGGAGGCCTACCGAATGGCGCGACGCCGTCCGTATAGCATAGTAGATGGCCTTCCGGGTTTCCTCATCGTGGACGGTGCGCAAGGCCGCGGCCGCTTCGCCGCTCATGGTTGGCAGGCTGACCACGCCCTTGCGTGAAAAATTGCGGACGACCTGAGGGTCCATACCATGGAACTTTTGCGATGGCAAGACCAGCCGACGCTGCTCAGGGGCCATTTCGTTCACGAATTCGGACCCTATCTCGCTGATCTTTTGTGAAAGATGGACGAAGCGGTCGCGGGCGGCCTGGGGGAGGTTGACGGCCGACTTCATAAAGTCCAGCTTCAGTAGCTGGGCCACCGACTTCTCTTCGTCAGACCATGATGCCGTGACGTCCGGGTCGGCCATGGCGCGGCCGAGCTGGTCATTCAGGCCCGTGGTGGTGTTGAGCTGGTTCATGTACTGGTACACCAGATACCAGGCATCCGAGGCGGCCCTCTGGATGCGGCCGTCCGGGTGGGTGGCCCTCACAAAGTCGCACAGGTCTATGACGCGGCAGAGGAGGTCGCTCAGACGATCCAAGTCTCGCACGATGCCCTTGTACTCCTCCATGGTAGATGCGCCGAGGACGCGCTCTACTATGGCATGGGCCTTGAGCAGGGTGGACTGGGCAAACGCCAGAAAGCCGTCCGGACTGGTGAGGTAGGCGTTGCGGAACAGACCAGCGTTCCCGATGGGGAACATGGCCGACCTCGACGAGAACTCGCGCCAAGCAGCGGGCGAGTCGAATATCTGGCGCAGGATCGAGTCATCGTGCGCTTCGCTGGTGCCGTGGGCAGCGGGCACGGCTGGGGTTGGGGTTGGGGTGGTATTGAGGAGAGTTGTTGCTGTCGCCGTCGTCGCCGCGGCGCCGGGGGCCGTGGACAACTGGCGTCCAAGGCCAGCCCGGGGCCGCAGAGCCGAGACCCGGTGGAGGCAGCTATTGCAGACCCATGGCCGAGTCCGAAGGAGCTTGAGCATGACGTGAATATCTGGCTATCTCTGGCAGACGCCGCTACGGCATGGTCGGCGTTATATCGGAGAGGCGTGGGCGGCGGGCCGGGGTCGCGTGCTAGGGTCTGTTGTTGCTACACTATGCAACACCGAGATCCTGTCATCGCGGGGCAGGAGTCTGTCTGACGCTGTGTACGCTGCGATGCTGCTATGCTATGCCACGGTCTCGGTTCGTTAAGCTGCGAACTGGTTACGCATTTTAAAGGTGGCGGGCGACAATGCGACGTCGGACATAATAATTGAGGATGGTATTCTTTCAGTGGGGATCTTCTCCAATTTAGTGGCAATCAGGGGGGTTGAAGTCAATCGATAGCGGCACGGCACAGGCACAGAAGCCCCGCCCGCACATCGGATTGCTGGGGCTCAAGCTGGAGCTGCCCGAGAAGAGAAAGAAAAAACCTGACCCGGATTTTGCCGCACAAGCAGCGTCATTCGGGATTGCTGAGAGCGCACTGACCACTCGCACCACCACAGCCAGAGACCTTCAAGACGAGGCTCCGTAAATGCTGTCGTCGTGCTAACAAGCCGCACCACGCCCCGTCCCTCCCCACGCCCAGTCCATCATCGCGCAAAGACGGTCGAAGATGGCTGCCAGGGTGCTGCTGGGCCAGGTAAGCATGAGCGGCACCGTCAATTGGCCCTTCTCTGCCGTCGGCTGACCTCGACGCAGCGTGCTCCGGCACAACTGGTCGCCGGCCTTGTTGCCGGCTCCTTTGCTTTATATCCCTCGGTTGCCCACGCCGAGGCCCCTTCCGGGCTCCGGCTGCCGGTAAGCCCCTGTGCCATGCTGTCTCACTGCTTGCCTATCTGTCTCCTCGGTTGCTTTGACTGACATCTCGCCTATCCTTCTCCCTGCTCTCCCCACCTCTCCAGCCCAAAAAGTCCATCTACGACGACTACGATGAAACCCCCTCCGCCCCGAAGACCTCAGCCCCGGCTCTGCCATCCCCCGAGCAGAGCTACGGCGACGCCCGGCCCGTCATCCGCCGCGGCCCCACGGCAACCGACCTACTGGCGGCCCAGATCCGGCGCGCCCGCCTCTTCCTGCACGCCCAGGCCGCCACGGTCGAGGACGGCGTCAACTCGGCGCTGGGCCGCGCCCTGGACCTGGAGCAGTCCTTCACGGCTACGGTGGCGTCGCTGGCGCCGCCGCGCGAGAGCGGCGAGCGCGTCATGCCGGGCCTCGTCTACGTCCTGGTCGCCGCCATGGCCGGCAGCATCGTCGCCCGCCGCCGCAACGTCCTCCTCCGCGCCGCCACCCCCGCCGTCTTTGGCGTCGCCACCGGCTGGGCCGTCCTGCCCTTTACCATGCGCAACGTCGGCGACCTGGCCTGGAGGTACGAGGAGAGGGTCCCGGCCGTGGCCAACGCCCACGTGCGCACCCGCGAGGCCCTCGAGAAGAGCGTCGTCATGTCCAAGGTCCACTACCAGCTCGGTGTGCAGTTCGTCGAGGACAAGGTCACCGCCACCAGGGAATCCCTGGAGGGATGGGTCAGGAAAGGAAAATAACTTCGCATTACACCCGCTGGCCGTCGTAGGAGCGGCGGAATGGAAATATATAAAAAAACATGAGTTTTGAAACAAGAACAAAAACGGAGGGAGGCTTTAATGGCTCAAAGTCCGACTGGAAGAGCCAGCTGCTCTCCTGCAGATGGAAGCGGTTGATACCAGCTGTACAATAAATACAAAATGCGACATAGACTTTTCTTTTATCACTTGTCTTTTCGTTATCCTCTGCTCAACTGGATGGCATTTGCTGGTCGGTAGGCACACGATGTGACTACGAGGTGCTTGTGCTTTGAGGTCCGGTATTAGTGTTGTTCAAGCGGCCAGTGATTATGTCTCGCTCCTATTACACGCCTATGCCCTTCTATGCGGTCTTCTATCCTATGTATGGGCATTGTGCGACGCGCAAAACAGGTATTGTACAGTGACGCTATGCGATCAAACGGTGGAAGTGACGCGGCCTGGGGACGGCCCTATAATGCCTTCTCGTGCCCGCTCTGTTCCAGCTGAATCAGGGTCCTCAGGACACGCTCGTACGTCCACATGGTGACGGCGCTCGCGGGCGCCGCCTTGAGCAGACTGACGGTCAGACCGCGGTACAGGCCGCGCACGCCCTCGGCGCGGAGGATGACGGAGACGGTGTGGAGGGCGCCGCGGCGGTACTCGGGTATGTTCCTGTGGACGTAGCGGGAGCGCGTGGGGCCCTGGACCTGGATGCGGCGGCGGACCAGGTCGAGCGGGAAGACGGCCGTCTTGGCGACGGCGCTGGCGGCGATGCTGGCGAGCGCCAGCTGGCCGCCCCACAGGAACGACGGCGGCAGCAGCCTCGCGTCCGACAGGGGCGCGCGCAGGGACTCGTAGGCGGCGAAGAAGATGCCCATAAAGGGCACCGTCTGGCCGACGGCCGGGGACAGGCCGCGGAAGAAGCCCCGCGGGCCCTCGTCGCGCCAGATGTCGGCCACGGCGCGGCGGAGCGACGGGTAGACGCGGTCGACGCCCTGGGCGGCGAAGCGGGTGCGCAGCAGGTCGAGCGGGTACGTGGCGGTCGTGGCGGCGACGCCGGCGGCCGCGCCCGCGACGAAGGACTCGGCGGCGGGCGGCAGGCGGCGGCCGCCCGTCTCGTCGCCGACACGCTTTAACAGTTGGGCCACCGAGCGGTAGGCCGTGAACTGGATGGCCGAGTAGGCGATGTACAGCAGCTCGGCCGGCACGTTGCCCTTCCACAGGCCCGTCAGGCCCTCGGCCCGTACGATCTGGCGCATCGTCGAGATCGTGCCCTTGTACACGGGCCCGACGACGGCGCCGCCGCGGCGCAGGTCCCGGAGCGACAGCGGGTCCGAGAGCGAGTGCGTCTGCAGCTGGAGCCGGATCTTGACGACGTCGAGGGGCGCGATGACGAAGCTGGGTGGCGGTGGAGCCAGCGAGCCGTCTCGTTAGTGCTGGGCTGGCGCTAGCACCAGGGGAATGGAAACCTTACCGGGCTACCATTCCGGCCGTTGCGCCCGCAACCACGACCTGTAGTCTTGAACCCTGCGTACAGACGGCGGCGAGATGGCCTCGTCAGCCCCCTAGCCTCGCCACAAGCCGGCTCGGCGCCGTCGCGCGAAGCTTCGTTCCTTACCTCATCTTTCAGACGCTCCCCGGAAGCGTACATGCACCCGGACTCTAGAGGCCTTCGCCCTCGCCCTTCCTCACGTGCCAAGCTAGCGACCACCGTGGGTGGATCAAAGCTGATGAAAGTGCGGTCGCAGTCGCAAGCCGAGGATTTTTTTCAGTATCAGAGTGCTGCGGCCGGCGCGACGTCGTGGATAAAGCAGTCACGCGATAAACCCAAATCGGGATCTGGAGGCAAAGATCTGACAGGCGTTTATCCGATCTTCATCCAATGTCGGTCGTCATCTCACGATCGGCAAAGTGCTCGCAGTGTGGCGTGGATTGCGACTGATGACGCGGGCTGTATGTCATGGGAAACATCCACCAACGCATTTTTTATCCTCGATTCACGGGCATCCTCAAGAGGAGAGCCCTCGCCAAGACGAAAATTAGTCTATTTCTCGGCTGCGGCCGACCTTACTGCTTTCAGAGCCTGGAGCCCAGCACAGCGACCAGCCAGATCCAACAAAACCACCGTGATTGATAATGGATACCTCGGGACCAGTCCGTCAGCGAGTTGGTGGGAGGCGACGGATTTTTAGAGGCTCCCGTCCCTTCTGTTGAAGCAAACACAGGGACCTGCAACCTCGGGTGTGCGCAAGTTAAGAAAACGACAAGACAGCAAAGCCGCAACTCAATTGAGGCGTCGACGCACGGGATACGTTTTCATACTCTTGAATTTGCCCCAAGACCAAAGGTGCTCGGCTCAGCGACGCTTGCAGACGGCATCCATTCCAGTGGATCCCCGCCAGAGTCAGCCAGCGCTGCAGGCAGCCCGGTGGAGTCGTCCAATGGCTTCCCGCAGCTCCATTTCGCTCAATTCGCAGCCTTCCGCTTGCCCGAACCCTCCGTGCCTCCCATCCTGCCCTGAATGGCGAGAAGACCAGGGGGGTGTCAGGTGGGGAAGGCGGCAGAACACAACGGTCCACAGCGCTACGCTACGGCACATGTCCTCCTTCACCCATCCCGGTCCTGTGACGTGCCCTAGACTCAGGGCCCAGGCCCAGTGAGGGGGGAAACGGTGCTTGGTTCCGGGAGCGGGAGGGCCGCCAGTGTTTGACGATTGCACATGCCGCCCAGCTCTGCAACCTTCTTCCTCGCTCGATAAATACACATACTCGTCCTTGCTTTCCCAGCCTTGTTCCTTCAGTCTCGACTCCGGTTTCTCTGTAACCACAGAGGCTTGCTGTACCGAGTCAATCACCATACAATCGTAACACTCCTGACGCTCGCCGAGCTCGCCAGATGAAACCGGCCCCAAGTTGATACCGTCGTCTTATCGCATGTGATCCCCTACCTAACCACTCGACGCCACCCAGGCAGCCTTAGCTGTCATCCCTCACCACTGTCTGCTACGTTGGATACATAAGCATACAGAACCCACGGGACGCCCTATTGAGATACGGCCTTGTCAAAAAAAAAGGCAGCCAAGGAAAAAATGACGGCAGCTTCAACAGCAACCATCAGTCCCCCAGACGTTAGGGGGATAGTAGGTCCGCTCCTACCCTCGCTCCCGGGAGCCGCAGTCGCCACCGAGCCGGCTGCTGCCATCCTCCCGCTCCTTTCGCCCATCCTCCGTCAGCGCGTCCAGCTGCTGTCTGCCGCAAGCACCGAGCCGTGGATCCGCCTTTTGTCCTACGACACCGCCAAGGCCGCTCGCTTAGCCGAGGTCGCCCGCGGCGACAGCTTCGAGCCGCACCCCGTTTCAGGCGAGGTCGAGGTCGACTGGGACACTGACGTGGAGACCAGATACCGCCGGCTGGACCACGAGACCCTGCAAGCCCTCGTCGTCCTCGACGCCTTTGGCCTTTTTTTCCGCCTCGTCTATTGCACGGGCGACCCCCAGGGCGACGGCGACGGTTGGAGGGTCGGCGAGGTCAGCGTCGCGGACCAGCCGTCGCCCTTTGCGTCGTTCGGCGGCAAGCCCAGCATAACCGACGCCGAGAGCGAATACAAGGAGGCACTCCAGGCGCGACTGGCTCCTGTCGCAGCCAAGAGCGCGACCAAACATGACGTAGCGTCATCGGGCGCCGGAACGAGCGGAGGATATGGACAGCAGCCCGAGGAGGATGACGATGACGACTATTGGGCTCGGTACGATGCGACACCGGCGCGGTCTCCAACGGTAAAGCGATCGCCCGCCCCAGGGGCCGCACGGCAAGCCCCAGGGGCAAGCACCTCCCACATGGCGGCTGCAGAGGAAGCGTACTTTGCGCAATACGATTCGGTCCAGCCGGCCATGGACAACCACGACCCGGATGAGGAGGCCAACCTGGCTGAGGCGGGTGTGGTGGTACCTCCGCTGGGTCTAGCACGGCCGGCAGAGGTGGAGGAGCCGCAGCCAGGCGAGACTCAAGGGGTCTGGACGCTAGCGGGCGGGCCCGAGACGACGGCATCGTCGCTTGACTCTCACAAATCGATCGACGACGATGAGAAGGAACGCCTGGAGCGGCTGCTACACCCAAGGCCGTCGTCGAGTGCGGCGGGGAGTAGCTCGACCGGCTCCTCCATGGTGGCCAAGCTCGAGGAGTCGGCGGAGCGACGGGAGCAGAGCGAGTTTGGGATCAAGCAGCACGTATCGCGCTCCATCAAGAGCCTGTTCCTACTGTCGCGCGCCGCCGGTATCGACAGGGACGAGTTCGAGCGCATGGTGAAGACGGAGTTGGACGTCCTGGGACTGATCGAGGATTAGGACAGGATGAGTTGGTTGCGGGATAACAATGGTTACCTCACTTCATATAGGATCACCGCATCTGTCATGTTTACGACAAGCACACTAGACTGCAAGGCGGAGGGATGGGTGTCTCTCCCTTTCCTTTTGGGTGTTCGGGCTCGGGGCTTGTTAGCATTGGCGAATGGCGTCAGGGTTGTGACTTTTGGAAGGGCAATCTCCATGCTCGGGAAGCGGACTGTAATTGTCACACAGAGTATCGAGAATGAAGTATGAAATAGTTTTGAATTTTAGTATATTCCAGAGGCTGAGAGGAGAGTGGTGGGTGTCGAGGTCTGAAACTGACATGACGCCATAAAGCTGCCGAATGCAATCTCGTGGCTGGCGAGCCTAGGACATGGATGGATCAGGTGATAGCTGCCACGGCCAATGGATCGGCTACCGCGCGACAACAGCAAGACAAGACAACGGACTTCCGAATTCCATTCTCGTCCAATTTGACACCATGATCTGCGGGCTGAACATGGTCAAACGGCTTTACTATTTCGAGGCCAGTGGACATGGGCTGATCCCCCCACCTTGAATCGAAACGGCCCGCCGCGACGAAAGCCACAGTCTGCCTGACGTTTCAGGCGCCAAACCACCATTTTCGCCAATGGCTGCGGACCCGCGACCGAAAAAGAAGCTGGGGAGGAGCTCGGCCGGCCCAGGGAATTTATAACGCCGCCATCGCGCCAGCAGACATACACACAGCCAGGTCGTCATGCTACGCCCGAGGATACCACTGCCGCGCCTGGGGCGGCTGGCCCGGATCCCGCAGACGAGGCACATCCACAAGCTGCGGCCGCTGAGAGATCAATTTGCCGAAAAGGGCATCGGCGAGGAGGGCCACCAGTTCCTTAGCCCCGAGGCCGTCGACTTTGCCTACACGCAGTACCAGACCCTGGTCCTGGAGAAGCTGAACAAGCTCACTGCCGGTTAGTTTTTTTTTTGCAGCCTTTGTTCAGCTTGTCGCAGTCCTCCCAGCGCAATACCTCCTCCCCATCCTCCTCCCGGGTGTGGCTCCACGATCTGGGCGCTGATCCATCCCCCTCCCCTCACCCGGGTGCGCGAACCACCAGGCCAAGAGGATGAGCTGAGCAACTCGCCCAACGGGCTGCTGAGCCTCATCACCCGGACGGCGCGCGACCCCAACAAGGCGCCGACGTTCAACTACGCCAGCATGGCGCACAACAACGAGTTCTTCTTCAACGGCATCTGCCACAAGGGCCCGCCCATCCCGCGGGAGCTGAAGCAGCACCTGGTCGAGGCGTTTGGCAGCATCGAGACGCTCCGGACCGAGTTCCTCCTGACGGCCTTTGCCATGTTCGGGCCGGGCTACGTCTGGCTCGTGCGCGCGCGCCAACCGCAAAACGTCGCGATGCGCTTCCGCCTCTTGGTCACGTACCTGGCCGGCACCCCCTACCCCGAGGCGCACTACCGCCAGCAGCGCGCCGACATGAACACGGGCAGCAACGTCGACGAGTGGATGGCCAGCCAGAGGGCCGCCGTGGCGCCCGCCTCGGCCTCGGCCGCGGGACCTGCCTCCTCCTCCCACACGAGGCTCGAGCCGGCCCCCGGCGGGCTCAGGGGCGTCGTCCCCGTGCTGTGCCTCAACACCTGGGAGCACGTCTACCTGCCCGACTACGGCATCCTGACCCCCGAAGGCAAGGAGGGCAAGCGTGAGTACATCTACAAGTGGTGGGACCACATCGACTGGAACGTCGTGGCCGACCGCGCCAACCTGGCCGCAGGGCAGCCGTCGCTCATAAGTTGATGGGCTTGGGGTGAGGCTGTATCTTTTGTAGGGAAGAACAGGGACTGGTCGTAAAAAAATAGATGGCTGGGATCATATAAAACCCGCCCGCAAACTGGAAGATGGTGTGCGCGTGCCTGCAAAGTTGCCTTGGGTCGATTTGCAGGTTTCCGCTGCGGCGACGCTCGATCCGGACGGGACGGGGTGGTTGAAACGGGGCTCTTTGGCTCTGGTCCGTCCGACGCCTGCTCTTTTCAACGAGAAAAAAAAGGCAAATGTATGATGATATAGTAGCTGTAGCAATGCGCCCCTGTACGAAGAACTGCTCCTTCTCGAGTGCCGTTGTTGGAAATCTTGTTCTTGGTGCGTGAAAGCATGGCAGCTCGACGTTTCCCAAGCAGGTGTTTAAGTGGTTACGAAAACCCCGGGGCCGTGGTCCCGTGGTAGGTGGCTTTACCCACTATTTCGGCCTTTAGCCCGGCCGACCGATCGACTTTATGGAAAGCGCTCCGGGCCTTGTTGTTTATTTATTCGCAATTTATTTGCGCTGGCTTTAGCGCGGGCTATTAATTAAAATACCGCGAAACCTAAATTTAAAAGAAAAAAAAATATTATTTAATACGGTTGTAAAAAATAAAACGTTATACGGTTAATTTTTGCAAATTAACCTTAATAAGCCGTTGTATAGGAGTTTTTTTATTATATCCAGCCGCAATTGCTATTAACCCATTCCGTATGTGCTAACAACCAAATCGTAAGCTAAAAAGCGTTACGTTAAAATTGCTCCTTTTCGAATGCCGTTGTTGGAAATCTTGTTTTTGGTGCGTAAAAGCATGGCAGCTCGACGTTTCCCAAGCAGGTATTTAAATGGTTACGAAAACCCCGGGGCCGTGGTCCCGTAGTAAGTGGCTTTACCCATTATTTCGGCTTTTAGCCCGGCCAACCGATTGATTTTATGGAAAGCGCTCCGGGCTTTATTGCTTACTTATTCGCAACCCATTTGCGTTGGTTTTAGCGCGGGCTATTAATTAGGATACCGCGGGACCCAAATTTAAAAAAAAAAAAAAAAAAAAAAAAAAACATTGTTTAATACGGTTGTAAAAAATAAAACGTTATACGGTTAATTTTTGCAAATTAACCTTAACAAGCCGCCGTATGGGAGTTTTTTTATTATATCCAGCCGCAATTGCTATTAACCCATTCCGTATGTGCCAGCGACCAAATCGTAAGCCAGAAGGCGTTACGTTAGGACTGCTCCTCGTTTGCCTAGTCATCGCGGGTTAGAGCTAGGGTACATCGCGGAATAACATTTCCCCCCAACACGTTTTAAATGCGGGTACATCGCGGAGCGTCCTTTAGGCATCACGTTGAAACTGGGCAACAGCGCGAAGAAGGCTTTCAGGCAAACGCGTTGAGACAAGCGCGCATTTGTGACGCAAGGTGATCTCCCCCGGTGTCCCACCCACCCAACCACAGGACACTCGATCAAATCACGACATACATGACAGACTTTGAGGTTATGCTAATTGACACTATACAATTATTCTGCTAACTAGATTTCTGTGCGCAGCAAAGGAAGGGATCGAAAGAAAAGTGCGAGACAAAAGCAAAACATAAACCGAGGCTTCTTTTTGCTCGATGAGAGCGGTCGAGACAGGGAATCGTGTCGAGGTATCTTTCAGTAGTTCAAAGTCATTCACCGCTGGCAGTGGTCGTAAAAGTTTATGTCCCATGTCCCCAGAAAAAAACGCCCCAAGAAATGGATTCAAAAAGCAAAACAAAAGACAAAAAACAAATGCTCAAGTGACGCCTGGTATGAATACGCTAAAAGGTTTCCAGAACGGTGATGACCAAACCTGTTTGAAAGACTAGAACGGAATCGTAGTGGAGAGTGAGGTTGGGGATGTAGTGAATGACATGGGTTTTCGGATTTAGATCTTGTTTTGTGATTTTTTTTCTTTTTCTTTTTTCTTTTTTCTTGTTCTGCTCGTTCAGATCATGTTGCCGTTGACGCTGACCTCGAAGCCCTCGCCCTTCTGCTTGAGGGCCTTGGCGAGCATCAGCTCCCGCATCCAGTCGATGCGCTCGTCGCGGCCCTTGACGGCAAAGTAGTGCGTCTTGCCGGTGCCGTTGGCGCCCTCGCCGTCGGACGAGGCGTGGCCGGCGCTAGCCGAGGTGTTGAGGCTCTCGCGCTTGCGCAGGAGCTTGACGCCTCCGCGGGCGTCCTGGGGGATGAGCTGGAAGCTGAAGGCGCCCGCGTCGTTCTCGCTGCCGCGGCGGATGCTCATGGCGCGGAAAGCGGCGTTGAGCTTGCTGGTGCCCGCCAGGCTCGAGCACGCGACGGCGTAGTCGTCAATGTCGACGTACTCGAGCGTGCGGCCGATCTCGTTGGCGTCCTTGTGCATGGCCAGGCGAGTGCCCTTGAGCGTGAAATAGTGCTCGTGCCACTCGTGCCGGAGCATGCGCGTCTTGCGCTTGCGCATGGGGCCCTGGTACGTGATGCCCTCGGCGTCGTGGGACGCGCCAACCACGCCGCACGGGGAGCCCGACGCCGCCATCATAGAAGGGCCAACCATGCCGCCCGACTTGCCCGGGGGCGGCGCGATGGCCTTCTCGTACGCCACCCGCTCCTTGGTCCACGGGTACTGCACTCGCGGGGGCGCCTGCAGAGGCCTCTTGTTGTGCTGCTGCTGGTGCTGCTGGTGCTGCTGGTGCTGGGCGCCAGCGACGGGGGAGCCGCCGGCGCTGAGAGGCGACGACGTGCGGCTAGGTCGCTTCGGCGACACTACGGCCACCCGGTTCTCATCCAGCGCGGGGAGGACGGGGAAAGACGGCCGCCTCGAGGAGCGGGAAGCGGACCGCATGTGGCCGCTTGGCGCTGCGCGGTAGTTCATGTCAGGCGGCACCGACTGCGAGACATCGCGGGCTACCGGGCCGAGCGGGATCGCCGTCACGGGCACGTCCATGTCCGAGAATGGGGTACCGAAACGGTAGGGCGCCGTCGGGGTCGACTCGGGTGACGGTCCCAGCGAGTGCCTTGGCGAGGTCCACTCGCGCGGGCGGTGCTGCATCACGGTGACGGCCGAGGCGGGCGTCTGGTTCATGGTCCGGATGTGATGGCTGGGAATGGCGAGCCTGGGAAGCGACCTCATGGCCTCCTGCGCGTGGTGCGGCTGCTGGTTGGGGTAGAGCTCAAACGGGGGCGTGGGCGGCACCTCGCTAGATGGGGCGGGGCTGGCAGCGGCCTGGTGTTGGAAGCTGAGGAACTGACGGACATTGTCCTGGGGGTCCTGAGCTTGGATGTTGCGCAGGGCCGCCTCCTGCAGGTACTGCAGCGGTGGGATGCCACCGGGTCCCATGATGTCGGACGAGGCCACAACCGAGGGTATGGCGTCCGACACAGGACGGAAGATGTCCGACTCCTTGCGGTTCAGGGCCTCGGCGGTCAGGGGGTTGCCGGGGTCGCCGGCCACCATGATGACGCCGCCCTTGTCCATGTCGACGAAAGGGTGGTCATTCTTGAAGGCCTCGATCATGCGCTGGTTGCGCTTCCACTTTGAGCAGTTCTCGCCCTTCTTGCAGTGGTGCGGCTTGGGCATCATTTGCTCGATGCCGACAATGGACACGGACTCGAGCGGCGAGATGATGTCGTCGCCCAGGTGCTTTTGCTTGCGCCGGCTCTGCTTGCGCTTTGGCTTCTCCTCGACCATGTCCATCGCCCGCTGCTCTCTCCAGACCTCGCGGTCGGGCTCGTCCTCGATGACGGTCTCGGGCCTTTCTGAGGGGACCTGGACGTCGAGCATGTTGAGTATCTCGTTCCAGACCTTGGTACGCATGCCAAATGAGGTGATGCCCAGCTCCGACAGGTCGCGGAACTTGAGCGTCATGAGGATGGCGCCCGTGATGTCGTTCTCGACGAATCGCTCGGCAGTCTGCTGCTCGACGCCAGCGTTGAGCATCTGCTGAGCCACCATCTCGGGCGACCAGTCGGCCAGGTCGCACGTGTCGAGCTCGGCGTCGGTGAAGCGGGGTCCGCTGCCTCGCCTCCTGCCAGGCAGTGGCGTCAGCTCCAAGGCGAGGGGCAGATGGTACTCGGTTCCCTGTAGTGGCGCTTTGGGCGTTATTGGCGACAGCGACAGCGCGTGCTCGAACTCGGCCGAATGCGCCGACAGACTGGAACTCCTAAACAGATGTGGTCCCCTGGGGCCCTCAACCTGCCTGAGCGAGTCTGTCTCGACCTGGAATGCGGTCCTGGCGCGGAACGACCTCGGCGTCTGAGCCTCTTCGTACGAAGACAGTGTTGTGAAACTGGGCTGGCCAGACTTTTGGGTGAAAGGACGTCAGCAATGGGCCGTGTATAGCAAAACTAGCTTCTCGGTACTGATAAACAGGACAACGGACACCTACCGAATTCAAGCTTATCCTCGGGGAGCTCTCGCCGTCGTCAACGTCGCTGAGAATCTCATCGTCGTCAAAGTCCGACTCCATAAACTCGGTGGCAACAGAAATCGGGCGTTGCTGGGGGCCTGCGTTCTTGAGACTGAAGAAAGTCTCGTGCAGATGCGGTTTTTGCAGCATCTCGGGATGCGGCCGCCCGCTGCCGGCGCTGCGTGTAGATGCCTTTTTTTTTTTTTTGTTGGTGTCAGTTAAGTTCACCGTAACTTGCAGGCGGCCCGCGAAAGGACGGCCACCAAGCAGACCTCATCCTCGGCAAATGGGTCGCCGGGCTCCAACAGCACGCAGATTGCATTGTCATACCATCATGTGCGTTTTCTCCCGCCGACGTTTGTGCAGTGAAGGGTGTTTCCCCCACGTCCAATTATTGGCCGTTTGCGACGCAGGTCCGCCTCTGGGCTGCCGGGCAGCAGTGGGTATACTAGATGCCGGTAAGGTAAGGTACGTGTGCCCGTGTATGTAGAGGTATGTAGGTTGGTTGCACGCAGGCAGGAGCCGGTGTATGTATATGTATGTAAGACGCGGATGCGAGTCGTGCTCACAGAGCAGTTGACGATCCGATACGCCTATCCTCGCTTGTCGGGGGGTAAGGAGGACAGGGCTGGGGGTGAGAAGGCGAAGAAGGCAAGCGAAAAATGCAGAGAAACAATATGCGGTGACCTTGTTGATGCCCGAGCCGTCGCCGATGGGTCGGGAAAATGTGGAAGAGGGCGTCCGCCGTGGACGGAGCGAGCGACCGCCAGGGAATAAGTATATCCAGGGGCAGGGGCAGGGAACAAAGTGCCACGATGGGCACTATGGCGCGGGCGAGCTTGGGTCACAGCAGGCGGCACGATGCATGGGGGGCCATCACACTGTGATAATGTGCTCTGAATTTGGCGCAAAAGTGATATGCAGGTGTGCTGCAGCTGGCACTTGGGGGGGAGGGGCACGCCTAGGTTCGGAAGAGCCAGGAAGGTGAGCGAGCGGGGGGAGGAGGGCAGTCTAGGGTAGGGGCAGTGCGGAAAGGTGAGAGAGGAGGGGGGGACGAGGCGTGATGGTGTGATATGGGCCATGGGTGTCTGTATGTGCCAGGCCTCAAAGGCAGGCATGGCATCGTATCCAGTAGTGCCAGTCGCTCGCTACCTGCACGTCCGGACCAGGAGAAGCACGGCCTAGTGGAAGCTAGCTAGCCCGTCGCCCATGGAGCAGCACCGCCCCAGCGAGATTCGGCCGCTGGCTTGACTGGGCGATATTGCACAACGATAGTGCGCATCTGGCCTCATGCAAATCGGTACCCAGCCCACTTCGCCGTGACGCATCCCATCGTGGAAACGTGCGTGGTCCGACGCCTCACTGCCATCTTTCGTAGCGGCCGGCGAGAGAGGGGGCGTGCAAGGTCAAAACCCAACCAAGCCGGCCGTGCTGGACGAGGCCAGGTCAGGGCCAGTCAGTGAGGGCGGGCGGTGGTGTGTAGGCAGCTGGGAACAGCGCACGCCCGCCCGCCCGTTGCCCGTTGCCTGTCACCTGTCGGTACATGGTGGCTCCGATGTGCTGGATGAGAATAGCCAGCCGGATGGCAGCGCAGGTTGGAACCGCCCAGCAACTGACTGATGGGGGGGTGGGCGCGAGGGAGGGAGAGGGCGGGCGGCAAAAAAAGGAGCAAAAGGCGACGGCTGGTTGGTGCTGGTTGGTAGCAGCCGCAGGAGCCGTGCCACGATTGGGCGATTTAGGCCAAAGGCTCCCCACAGGTGCAAGCAGCACAAAGAGCTCCCGCAATTCCCGCCGAGGGTTGCCATTCTCGACGTACCGAGGGCTCCCATTGGCCGAAAAATGCAGCCGGGCCATTCGCAAAAATAGGATCTACGCGCCAGGCAATCGCGGCCCCTGATTGGCCCGTCCGTGGAGATCATGGGCCGGGACTTGGGAGGGAGGGGGGAGAGAAGGGGAAATTGGCTCGGGCCATCCCTGCTCGCTCTCTGCATCGAGACTCGGCGGTCAAGGGCAGCCACACCCCGAGCAGCTGCCCTGTCGAGTCCTCAACTAGCTCCACCCTCCACCTTCCCACGCTCTTGCTCTCTTGGCGCTCTTGCATGTGCCCTTCCATGCCTCCCTCACGCACGCCCAGGCTAAGCCGGGTCCGGGAAAAGTTGGTTGTGGTGGAGCCGACGAGGGAGAAGAGGAAGGACGATGAGGAGAAAGACCCTCGACCCTCAACCCTCGACCCTCAACCCTCGACCCTCGACCCTCGAACCCTTCAAGGGCCCCAGGCAGGGGTGGAAGTGGTGCGGGGGGTTCTCAAGCAAACGTCCTATCACGGCCCGTCGCCCTCCTCCATGACTAACAGACGATGGTGTGTTAATACGACGCAGATACATTGGCCTTGACCCTCGCGAGGGAGCCATTCCCACTCTTGACAGGGCCTCCGAGCGGAGCCATTACTGCAGAGAACGGCCGGTCGCCTCCCGGCATTTCGTGAGCCGGGCCCGTGTGGTGGTGCTTTGTGGTGCTTTTGCAGCTTACTATTTCGGCTACGGCCACGGCTACAGTGACAGGTAGCAGTTGTTTTGTTGCTGCTGCTGCTGCTGCTGCTGCTGCTGCTGCCGCTGCGAGTGATGGAGTCGCTGCCGCTCCATGCCGATTTCCCACATCTCATTTGCAGCTTTTCATGCAACCCTTCGGTCCTTCAACACTTGCACCTCCTCTGTGCCAATATCATCCCTCGCCTCATCGGGCCGCTTCTTTGGGCCTGGCTGTCCAGGTCTTGGAACTGGGTCGTGCCGGTCGCCGGTCCAGCCAGCCATCCAGCCCAACCCGGCAATGCGTAGCCCTTGTTCCATGCCCGTCGAGCGAGGTCGACCACACGGCCGCAGAAGCGGCCACATACTCCGTCCAGTGGGCGGGGATGGGAGAGGGGGCCAAAAAGGAAGAAAATCCCCCCCCCTCTCTCTCTCTCTCTCTCTCCCATGCGTGCGTGCATGCATGCCTGCCCGCATACACTCGACCTCTGCAGCACGCTGGCGCCGTGGGGTCGGAAAATGGCGAGGGTCGTAGCCTTGGCGTGCGTAAACTTCGCACACACAGGCACGCACACACGCTCTCTGCGGAAGTGCATACATGCCACTTTTGTGCTCCCACGCACGCTCCGTAATCCTGCTATCCTGCTTACAACCATGTAGAACTCTCTCTCTCCTCGTGCGGGCATGGGGAGGGTCTGCCGCCCGACCAGGTTGGACAAGCGGGCAGCGAGAAAGGGGGGACACAAGTGACGGGTGACGCCGAGACACCATGCGTCGTGTTGTGGTGCCGCGGTTCTACCATGCCGCCTTCGAGTTTTCTGTAGTCCTTTCTTGCCCCGTCGTCATAGTTGCACTTGGTCGTCGTCGTGAACCCCCGGGTTGGTTCCCAGCTTTTGGTGTGGCTTGAAGTCGGGCTGTTTGTTGGCATCCATACAAGAAACGCCACACGCCAGTGAGACACACACACACAACCACCAACACACAAACACACACAGACACAGACACGCACTTTGCCCGTCTAGGTACACACCACACCCTCTTTTCTCCGTTAGTTAGCGCCTGCTGACTCTCGACGGCAGCCAGCTTGTCCCAAGTTGGCATCTGGGTGTGGGCGCGTGCGCACGCTTTGGGGTCGAGGGGGGTCCTCGCTCCCTGGGGGCCCACCGTTGCGCAAACGGCGCCGTCGCCTCCGGAGCGGCACCGAACACGGACCCGCCATTGCCCCAGAGATGCCAGCCACCGCGGCCTGGGAGTGGCCGCCACTTTTTGTCGCCATCATCAGGGATTCCAGTGTGGTCATGGGTGGTCTCATGCTCGATCTCAGGTGCGCTCTCCCACGATATGCCTCAGAGAGGTAAAGCAAGTGTGAACGAAAAAGGCTCGCATGCGGCTATTGTGGAAACACATACACCCCGCCGATCCTTCTGCTCACCGCTCTCGGCCGTTTGGCGCGAAGAGTGTGGGTTTTTGCAGAGAGTTTTTTTTTTCTTGCCTTTTTTTTTTTCTCGGCAGCGGCCCGTCCGACGGCGCTGATGAGGGGGGGGGGGACCGAGTCTAGGTGAGCGAATAGGGCCGACAGATGTCGCAAAGCACGAACCGGCCAGGGATCAGGGCATCAGACCATGTGAGCACCACATGACATGTCGGCGGCCGCCGACGACGACGACGCGCGGGGGGGCGGACTGCGGACGGCCATATGGCCCCCGGGGCGAGGACATGGACAGGGCGCTATTCGCTCGCAAGGGGCCAAGGTCCACGAATATCAGCCCGAGGTCACGCAGACTTCCCGGCCCCCTCAGCAAGAGAGCAAGTAACTAGACAAAGCGAATAATGCAAAGTCGACACGGTGTCCGTTCAGTGCGTCCTCGGGAAGATGCAGAAGCATGCGTCATTGTCGAGAGTTACGGGCGGCAAGTGGGGGAGAAGACCAGTCGGTGAGCGGCCCGGTCGAGCTGAAGGCGCGCATGCAAGCCATGTCGCCATGTCGCCATGCAAGAAAGCGCCGTGGGTCAAAGGTCAAGGTCGGCCAGAGCATGGGAGGAGCGAGCCGCGACAATCCGAAAAAGACTAGGGCCAAGTGCGTCCGATCAGGGAGGGGAGGCGTGGGTGAGAATGTTCTTTTTTGTGTCACGCATGTCCACTATCGCACACCGTCTCTATGACTATATCCCTCCCCCTCTTCGGGAGGCCGGGGTCCTTCTGCAGCTGCGAGGTCGGGCCGTGGTCGTGAGTCGTCGTCGGAGGGGACAAGGGGGGACACACGGTGGAGAGGGAAGTAAGGTAGATGGCTTCTCGAACCCGTAGACCATGGCACGGGTGGATGCATGCAACCGCCTACCCGCAACCCGAGACAGCCAACTCACCAGGGAAAAAAAGAAAGACATATCTGGAATCTTTGAACCACCGCCCGTGCCTCGCTGGAGAAACCTTACGAGCGTTTGTCGGGGTTGCGTCGGCGCCCCTCCTCCTCCTGCACCGCACGCACCTTGGGCCGCCACCCAATTGCACAGACTAGCCGTTAGCCGCAGGGTGGAGAAGGGCCAAGACACGGCATTCTTTCACCGACATCTAACACGCACACCTTGATTACCGGCCGTGCGCTCCGTGGTTGACGTCGCCCGTGATCTCACGGGCGATCTCAAGTGACGATATCTAGGCCGTGGCTGGGGGTCCATTGAAACCCAAGCATGGAAGCAGCCGCCTGGGACCCAACATCGAGTGGCAAACAGTGGTCTGTCCAGCATTCCACCCCTCAGCTGAGTCAAAGTTGCGGTAAGGCTAGGAGCATGCTGCTGTAGCGGGTTCTGGTGGCACATGACCCAGGGCTCTCTCAAGGCGCACTGTTCCTGGACCCCCTCCCAAGGGGGGCGTGAAACATTGACCCTAAGTCGAGAAGCGAGCTTGGTGCAAGTAAGCAGCTGGGAAGCGAGGGCCTCGGGTCGGCTGCGCTCAACGCTCTGCAACGACACAGATCTGATATTGGTCGCCCTGGCTGGGATATGATTACCACAAAAGAATCGACGACCCGCAAAGACTGGGGACATAAAGCCGGGCAGATTCGGAAGGAGCAGATTCGGAAGGAGGCGGTGCCCAATGCCAAAATCGCGAGCGGGGGGCTGGGGAGAGGGGGTGCATGGAATTCGCAGGGGCACAAATGGGTGAGGGCACACACACAAAAAGGCCGAGACAAATCGCAGGAAAAGAACCAAAAAAAGCCTCATCTCTGAATTCACATCGCGAAGTTCCCGCTGGGGGGATGGATAATCACGGCTCTCCGCATGATGGACCTCGGGACGCGGTGTGACCGATGGACCCGTCCAGTAGGATGCTCACTCTCCTCACATGATGCGCATGAGATGCGGAGGCCTTGGAATAAGAGGCCAAGGATGGTGTGTAAGGTGCGAGTGCGTGTGCGATTGATTGCCAGGCCAGAGGCCGCCGTGGTCTAGAGCAGAGACAGTGGTGCGGTCCTTGGGAGATTGTGCGGCCGCTGAGCCAAGCGTCGCCATCCAACCAGCGGCCAGATATGCGGCCACCACCTGACGTCGTGTGGCGGGCCCAAGCAGGTCCGTCAAACCTGCGTCTGGGGCTTGGGGTGGTTCTAAGAATCAACGATTGGAGCCGTGGACTGCCAATGAGATGGCGATTCGGCATCTCGAGGCTCGGATTGGGCGCCGTGAAGAGGGCCCATTGACAGTAGAATCAATTTAGTCCGGGGCCTTTTGCTAAGGGGAAATGGGCTGGGCTCGTTGGGTCTTGTGCCTCACCGGTTTTTTTTTTGGTTTTTTTTGGTTTTTTTTGGTTTTTTTGGCGGCATGGGACGGAATCAGTCGATTTCTCCATGCCCGCTCACCCGCTGTCGTCTTTGCCCTAACCGAGCCTGCGCGATTATGGACACGAATGGATCCCGATCTTGTGATGCCCTCCCTGTCCCGCTTGCCGGGGTCTCGATTGACGGAGCCGACGTTGGTCGTTGGGGGCGTGCGCGAGCGAGCCCGTGCCACTGAGCTGCATCCGGCCTCCTTGGCCCCAAAATCTTGATTTTGGTTCTGTGCCTGGCCCCTGGCCCCCAGCCCCTGGCCCATGACCCTCCCATCAGATATCGACGGAGCACCATCCTGGGCGCGCGTTGCTGCTCTCTGTCAACCACGGCAGTCGGTAGGCGAGGGAGTTCCTCCACTGATCAATGTGCCCAGCAGGACGAGGAACGACAAGACGGGCGAAGACGAGGGTACCCCAGCCGTCGCCAAGGCATCCGCCTGTCACTATCGGGCGAGGCCGAGTCGCTCGCTTGGGTGGGATTTTTTTTCTTTTTTTTCAACGGGCCACCGCATCTTTCTTCACAATTGAGTTCAGCCGAGCGAGATCGGCAGCTGCCCGGACTGCGACTTGGCGACTTGAGGACATGGGATGCACGGTTGGGCAGACCAGCATACGCAACGTAATCAAGCACACAATGGTATAAGCGAGGATCGACGGCAGCAGCTCCGTGGTTGAGGTGTTCCGTAGGGACGAGGGGAGACACGGGCGGAAAAGGCCAGGTCAGTGTTGCGCCTGCTACCCTTTTGGGAAAGGCGCTCGCGAACCTGCTCTCTTGACCGTCAAATTTCCTCATTGGCTGGTGCTGGTTTGGTCCGCTCAGCCGGCTGGACTGCTTTTTGCTCCCGCGTGGATCTTCCCGTAGGGAAGCAAAGTTCCCTGCCGCAAACTAGCCTCGAGCTGGGGGGGCCCCTTCAGGACTATGCAGCAGCGGAAAAACAGACGCACCCACCTCGGGAGCAAGAGGTTAGCGGACCCTTGCGAGTGGCCGTGACGGCGCGGGCGCGGCGAACGAACAAAGAAGGCAGGTCGGCCGGTGGGGTCTGCATGCCATCGCCCACCCAGACTTGACGGCTGCCCGGGAACCCCCAGCAATTGATCCTGGCCCGTCTCTCTTTCTCTTTCTTCCCGGCGGCCAGCGTTGCTTTTTGCCAGGAAATGAGCGATTTGTTTGTCGGCGAATGGTGAATACGGTGGACGAGCAACCGGGAGGGGGGTCGTGATGTCTTGGTGAGCGACGCGGATCCCCTCCCCCTCCCCTCGCATTGAAAATGTTTGCTTTGCGGCATCTCCAACGGCTCGTTCTTTGCCCATGTCGGCCCACCCGATCGAGAAGCCGTCACAGCAAATAAATGCTGTCACATAGCAAAATTGAAATTGAAATTAAGCAACCACACATCCGCGATATCCGCTAGTGGGGCCCTTGCCTTGGTGGGGTTTGGGACCGAACCTGCCTGGGGTTTCGACAAGATGAGGTCTGTGCTGGGCCGCCATCCGCCTGTCCAATCCATGGCGTGCCATCCGTGGATCCATGGCTGCTTGCTCCCTGCTTACTCCCTCCCCCGCCCGTGCGCTCGCTCGCCATTCATGTTGCCCTCCTCCCATCCTTTGTCTGGTCGGCATGAGCTGCCCGGCCCAGAGGACCACCTTGCCATCCCTCCCCCTCGCTCCAGCCCGCATATTGGGCATTTTAGATTTGATAAGAAGCGGTCCACACCCCATGAACCTATCACACCTGTAAGTTCCGACCTTTGAACAACGGATGAGGGGATTTGGGTTTGGGCGATTACCCTGTTAGACTCGACATGATACCTACCTAGCCCCTCCCACCTTTTGGTCCTGGGGGCGCATTTGGATGAACGGCAGATCGTCCCCAAGGGCCCCTCAACAGCATTGGCCAGGCGGGGATGCCGACCGGGGATGGTGTGCACGGGGCAGATGAAGTCCAATGCTAGCCTGCAGGGGCTAAAAAGATCCCGGCCGCCCCGATTGATGCATATTCTCCCACAATGACATGCTAGTACTCGCCAGCCGCTGCTGTCGTACCCCTGCTGGCGTTGGGATGAAAACCATCGCCTCGACTAGACCAGCATTGCTAGTTTGATGGACAGAGTTTGCAAGGCTACGACGAACTCGCAGCCGGGAGGAAGACGAAAGAGGAATCCACTAGGGCCCATTTCCCCGAAGCCAGCCTCATCGGGGTTTATACACGTTGCCGAAAAAGAAAGAAAAGACGGCGAGTCCATCCAGACTAGGAGGCGTAGTGGAAAGTTTAGACGACGTCTAGAAAAACCAGTCGGTGCGCGGCCGTTGCGACGTCGTTAGTGATCCCCGACGCCCGGCTGGGCACAAACATGCGGCCACCTCCACCGGGTGGCTTGCAGCCCGGCTTCTTCCCGGAGAAGGGGGCACGGACGGACCCAACAGGTGCGTGGCCTGCCAGTCTGACTGAGAGGAAGATGCAAAAGAGGGTTAATTTTAGATCTGATCCAAAATTAACCCTCAATAGTTCGGGGCAAATTATGGAAATATTGGTCATGGCAGGCGGACAGCAGCAAGGTGTATCACACACTCACACGCAAGGCGACGGGTGCGCGGGGGTGCTGGGCCACGGCTGCATGGGCCTGGGACTCGATGATGACATCCGCTGCTGCAGACAAGGGCAGGGAGGGAAAGCGGCACAGGATTTGATCACACCATAAGATGAGGATGGACTTGGCCTCAGCTCCGTGCCATGTCGCAACGGGAGAGGGCATTGGGTTTGTCGACGGGTTGTCAAGATTCAATGTTCGCACCATGAACCCAAGTGAGGTAAGAGCACTCTGGAGTGAGATCCTCTGCACCAGACTTCACCAGGCTTCACCGAGCTTCACACAAGATCTCATTCATTGCAAATTGAACAACCAACATGACCGACCACTCATCCGTCATGCATCATCGGGTTGCAAATAGGACAATTTGCAGTAAATGCGCTCATTCTTCATCTCACGCAATGGGTGGACGTGCTGGTCGGCAGCGGACAATTGCACCTTCGAGGCGGAGAGAATGGGCTTGTCCCCGCTCTTCCACACTACCACGGAAACCACCACCCAAGCCGTCCTAGGGTCCCTTGTCGCCAGCGGAAGCTCGTCACATGCCCTAGTAGATCTATTGGCAACTGTTGCTTGAACCCCGGCTTCGCAGATTTTCATCACACTGCCGCAACCAATGAACGGCCCCAGCTAACAGACAGAGCTGTGGGTGTGTGGGTCCACGACAATCGCGAGGAGACCGAGAGGGGAAACGACAAGGGAGAAGAGAAAAAAAAAAAATCGAGGCACCGCGACACCTCTTCCTCGCTGTCTTACCCGTCATCGGTCTGCAGTCTCCGGTCTGCATTGTCCCCGGCTAGTTGCGCCACCACCCACAAGCTGCACTGGAGAAACAGAAGAAGAGAGAGGGCCCGGCCAAGTGTAGACCGAATCCTTTATTTTGTTTGAACGGCGACCACCTTCAGGCCGCGTAGGCCCCTGACCGAAACTGTAGCTGCTGGACAGCACGCAGACTTGGAAACTGAAAGATGCCATAATTCCCGAGCATACGCCTCGATGGCTACAATCCCCGACACTGACCTGTCCCCCCTAGACGTGGGACTGCTGTGCTGGGTCAAGGGTCGCTGACTGCTCGGGAGGGAGGAGGTGGTGCGCCCCCAGCAGTGACTGGTGGGACGGCGGGAGAAATGATGCTCCCGCCCTTTCGCGTGCTTGCAGGTTTGCCGGCCACGAGGTACACGAGTTATGGGTGGCACCAGGGCGCCACAGGTAACGACGACGACGGTTGCTTGCTTGCCCGTCACGATGTTGAGGTCGTGCAGTAACACTCGACCGCGAAAATGGCCCGCCGAGGTGCTGGGTTGGTGGGCAGGGCTGCAAGCGCACCCAGACACCGAATCTCGACCGTCCCGGCTGTTTCCTTTCTTATTTCCTATTCTATCTCCCACTAACACTTCCCATTTTGCATATTTCCTGTTCCCAATCGGCTCACACTTGTAAGGGCCATCCACAGGATAGCAGGCTTTGGGCAGCCTGCCGGGAGTCGGCTGAATGATTGTGAGTGGGTGCTGGAAATGAAGACCACACCTCCCAGCGACGGCTCCGTGGGATCAGCATTCGGGTCCCTGTCATGTCAGCCAAGGTCAACAGGCAAGGGTCGCCCTGCCTCGACTGTCCCCGAGGACCCATGTGTGCACAGAGCTACGGTCGTATGCGTCTTCATCGACTGTTGGCGGCCTGCTAGCGTGCAGGTTGCAGCTCGGCCTGCAGCCTACGCCAGTCCGCGGCCAATCAGCGGCACAGCGGCCTAGTGCCTCTCTTCCACAGAGCTGCCCATTTGGTCGCTCGACAGCCCCCACCCCTTGCAACCATCTTTTTCCGCGCACATCAACCGGGCCAGAGTGCGTCGGCACTAGCCCAGAAGGGGATGTCGTTCTATTCTTGAGGGTGGGGTTGGGCGTTTGTTCCCACACTTGAGAGAGCGAGGCCGGCCGGCCAACCAGGCAGAGCGCGCCAATGAGCGGCTGTCCTCGCCCACCACCCTCCCTGTGCCCCCCCCCATCTCCGTGCCGTTCCTCCTGCTCTCCCTTCTCTCCTGCTACCTGCCTCTGCCTCTGCAGCCACAGTCAGGCCGGTCCCAATCCGGATAGCTCAGTCCTACCGTGCTTCCACGTAGGGCAGATCAACATGGGTCACGCACCGAAGAGGGGGGCCCAAAAAAGAAACCGCCCAGGCTTGGGTGCGAGTGTTCAAAAATAGAACACAGCACAAACCAGAAGTGCCAGACCCGCGTGCGAGCCGGTGATGGTGCTGTGTTATAAGGCTCTGCCATGTCCGACACATCTCGACGTTTTGTTTCCTCCCCTCCAGATCAGACCAAGGCCCCGGTGCAAGGAAGAAGTCCCAAGTGTCGTCCGCTCGACCCATCCTCTCTCTTTTAATCAGTAATCTCTTCGTTGATCGTCGACCCTGTCATCAGCCCTAGCCCTGAGACACGCAAACCACCCAGCTCGACGATTTCCAGAAAGAAGACAAACCCTCCCGACCCACGGCAAGCCGGACTTGCTGCGCAACCTTACAGTCTCGACGACATATTTACTTATCCGATAACTTAATAACGCCAAGTGTTTCGATAACGCTTTGTTGAATACCATCTTTGCGGGGTGTGCCAGGGTGAATTTGATATTCGCTTGGTGCAAAGGCATTTGGACCTGGGTGGACCTGGACTCGACTTGGGACCCCTGCCTCTGCCTGCCCTACCCTCCTCCCGCTTTTGCTCGGCCCAAGGGTCACCCACCCACACGCCCCCTTCTCCTCTTTCTCAACCCACACCCCCCAACCACCCTTCCCACAGCCACTCCCTCCCGCCCCGGGTTGTGTGCCCCATTGTCTGTCAAAGCAGGTACCTATCGTTGGAGGGACAGATACAAATGTCAACACTACCCCCCCAGATTCAAGACAACCTCACCAAGACACCACAAGTCAACACAATGGCCACCGGACAAGCAACAAAGACAAAGTCGGCCAAGGCCGCTGCCGCCAATGCCACATCTAAGCAAAAGAGCCAGATGCACCGCCGGTCAAGAACGGGTATGTCCTACCCCCTTATTCCTTCACTTCTTGTCTCCCAGCTGTGCCGTCCAAGATGCGCCCGGCCAGAAAACGAGAGAAACAAGACGGCAGAGGCTAACATGTCATGTTTTGCAAAGGCTGCTACACATGCAGGCTCCGGAGGAAGAAGTGCGATGAGGGCCAGCCCATGTGCACAGCATGCAAGCACCTGGGTCTGAGCTGCGAGTACAAGCGCCCCATGTGGTGGAGCAACAACGATGCCAGGAGGCGGCACAAGGACGACATCAAGATGATTATCAAGAAGAAGAAGCTCTCCGAGAAGGGCTCCCACAACGTCCAGAGCTCCATGAGCTCGCCACCTGGCCTCTCGCACTCGCTTCCCACGTCGGCAACCTTCTCCGACCCTCTCGATCGGACAAGGTCGGCCTCCATCGACTCCCACTTCCCCTTCAACTTCAACAGCCCGCCCACAACCTCCGAGTATGGCTCTTTCACCCCTCAGATGCACCCGGACTTCATGTTCACTGGCGCCTTCTCGCCCTACGAGATCGACGTCAAGACGGAGAGGCAGATGTTTGTCAACGACGTTCCCACCCTCCGGGAGTCGACCACCTCCACCTTCAGCACCTTCCACACTCCGCCGCCTCCGGGCTCTACCCTGCCGTCCTTCCCTCTGGAAGGCGAATGGACCGAGCAGGTGTGCTCGGAGCGGCGCGAGTCCTTCACCGAGGAGACCCTGAACCTGAACTTCTTCGACTTTGCCCATGGCCCTCCGATGCCCTCGAGGCAGGTGGCCATTGAGCTGGACGAGGGCGACCAGCGCCTGCTGGACCACTTCATCCAGCACGTGCTGCCGACAATCTTCCCCATCCTCGAGTCCAACCAGCACGGCTCCGTCACCTCGGACCTGATCCTGCCGGCGCTCCAGAGCAACAAGGGCTACCTGCACTGCTGCCTGAGCATCGCCGCCCAGCACCTCAAGACGTCCGACGTTCCCCAGTACGACGAGGTGGACGCCGACATCATGCGCCATCGCTACTCCACCATCTCGGCGCTCTGCGACGCCCTGGCCCGCGACGAGAACCACCAGCAGATCCTCGAGGCCGCCCTGGGCCTCATCTTCTTCCAGTGCTGCGTCGGCCGCTTCGACGACGCCCTGCCCGACGTGGCATGGCACCAGCACTTCCAGGCCGCCGTGTCGCTGGTGCAGAAGCTGGACCTGCCGCGCATCGTCTCGGACCCCACCGAGCAGTCGTCGGCCACGCCCTTCAACATGACGCTCACGTCCTGGATCGACATCCTGGGCGCGACCATCCTGGGCCGCGCGCCGACGTTTGCGCACACGTACCGCGAGAAGCACCTGTCGCTCACCAACTCGTCGCTCGGCCTGCGCGAGCTCATGGGCTGCGAGGACCGCGTCATGTACCTCATCTCGGAGATCGCCTGCCTCGAGGCGCTCAAGAACGACGGCATGGACGACATCACGCTGTGCCAGCACGTGCACGTCCTGGGCGACCAGATCGGCCTCACCGAGGTGGGCGAGCAGCCGCCCAAGATCCCCTTCAACGCCAACGGCACCCTCAGCCCCAAGCAGCTCAGCAAGAACATGACGGCCGCCTTCCGCCTGGCCGCGCGCATCTACCTCTGCAGCCTCGTGCCCGGCTTCAGCCCGGCCCAGGCCAGCTGCGTCGGCCTCGTCGACAAGCTCACCACGGTGCTGCAGCACATCCCCTCGGGCCCCCACGGCTTCGACCGCTCGCTCGTCTGGGTCTACCTCGTCGGCGGCGGCGTCAGCCAGCCCGGCTCGTCCTTGCGCGCCTTCTTCGAGGACCGCATCGCCCAGCTCGGCGACCGCGCCGTCCTGGGGTCCCTTGGCCGCGTCGTCTCGCTCCTGCGCGAGACCTGGCTCGAGGGCGACAGGCTTGCCCACCAGTCGCAGTCGTGCACCCCCACCAGCGCCTCCTCCGACTGCGGCTCCGCCGGCGTCGCCTACATCCACTGGCGCGACGTGATGCAGATGAAGGGTTGGGACTACCTTCTCATCTAGCTCGAACCATCTCTTTTTTCTTTTTCTTTTTTCTATCTCTCCTCTCTCTCTTCCTTCTCTTGGCGATACAGGAAATTGCCCCCTTTCATTTTTTTTCTCTCTCAGCGAAGATTTTTACCTTGAGCAAAAAGGTAGAGGATGCCGCGAGGCATGAACATTTCGGGGACGACACTTGGACTCGGGAAACCTGATCCCAAATGACCCTGGAGACTTCGGACACCTCCAGGGTCGAACGGCGCCGGCGCGAATGTCGTGGATCGACGGCGGCGAGGCGGTGGGAAGCCATCGGCGGGATGGCTTTCGGACTTGATGATGAATGACCTTTTCTTCTTTCTTTTCCCCTTTCCCCCCCCCCCCCACTACTATTCCCTCTCCTCCTCTTACTGGCCGCTCACCCCCCGGGTTATACCAAAGCAGCGTTGCATGGGCCTGGAGTTTTTCTTTTTCGTCATCATGGGAGTGCCGGCGGGCACTGGGAATAAAGGGGGAACATGTTTCTTTTGCTGGTTCGTTTCTTTTTGATGGACAAAGGGAAACAGGACAAATCAAAGGCGTTTTTATCCGCCAGTGACGCAGGAAAGACACCTGCGACAGCGCCTTTTTCTAATCTTTTTCTTTCTCGCAATTATACCCAGAATTCCATAAGAATTCAAATTCAAGACTTCAAACCAAACCAAACCAAATATCCTCTACCTTGCCATTCTCTCAGTGAATTTGCCGCGGATACCATGAATAACTCGGAAAGCGCAAGCCGCGACGTTTCCACAGGCCTCGAGGACCTACCATCGTCGTCCAGCGAGGTCAGATGGCCTGGCAGCCGCCGTCTTCGTTTCATTTCCGGCGCTTCGCCGGCCGGGGCAATCTGTCAATTCCGTTGCCGGGTTGCACTCAGGAAGCGCGCGGCAACCACTATTTTGCGTATCAATTTCTCTTGATTCCTGCTCTTCTTCATCCTTTTCTTCTCCCTATTTTGCGTCTCCCATTCGGCTTTCTGGCACTGATCTCCTTCACCACAATAGGCCTACCAAAGCTGGCCTACACTGGACCCGAAGCCCCACTACCTTCTACAATCTACCCACCGACCTCTAGCATGAGGACAGAGTGGCAGCAGCACGATGACGCAGCATCAACAGGCCTCGCTCGGTAAAGGATAATTTTACCCTGTCTCCCGACAGGGTGACTTGCAGACAAGGTCCTCTTGACCGCCTCGAGCCGCCGTGCGTTGTATGATGCCCAAGGGGGCTTGTTCCTCGGCTTGTTGTTTCTCGTAGACGCGCACCTGCCGCTCGGCTTCTGTGGGGCGCGCGCGTTCGGTCGGGTACATACGAACAGCTCGCAGAAAGAAACCAGGGCAAGGGGCCACGCGCAGGTGAGGGTCTTGCCGTGTGAGCGCACGACGCAGGCCCCCATCTGGGTTCGGGACTCGAACGTGCTCGGAGGGGGGCGGGAACTGTATCGTGAAAGTGGCAACGTTGGATGCTTCATGCTAGGGTCTTTTTGCTTGATACACGCACTCCCTCTCCGCAGGTGGGCAGAGTGGCAGTGGAAACAGGGAGGGACGGGATTGCTCAGACTGACGGTATGCACATAAACGATGTTTCGCTGTTTGGCACAGACGCGAGCCCACGCAAAGAAAAAAAAAACGTGCTGTTTGTAGATCACGAAAGAGTCATCATGGGGGGCGAGCAGGGTGCTCGCGAGGCATTTTCACGGGGCCTGGTGAGCTGAGGGAGGTGTGAAGGTAAGAAAGGAAAAAATTGCTGGCGGCCAGGGTACATGGGTCGTGGCCCGGTATTTTCGAGGTCTGGCCCCGGGGCGGACAAGGCGAGCAGCGAACAAGATAGCCAATACCTTGGTCGGGACTGCAGGTCAGGCGGCGAGGGCGTGGGGTCTGGGCGGAGAAAATCTGCGCTGGCCGTAGGGCGGCAAAAGGGCGCAGGGAATTGGCCATCTGCGAACTCAGTCGAGTGCGTGCGCGCGCGCAGCCGAGAAGCGACGAGGGGAGTGAGAGGCCTCGTGATGACCGAGCATTGATTTGCGAGGGCGACAATTGCGTGTCGTGGGTGGCAGGGCAGAACAGAACAGGGCAGGCGGGCAGCAGGGCGGGCAGCAGGGCGGCCAGCTAGCAACAGCGTGCGTGCAAGTGTGGGAGTGACAACAGCCCGTGGCACCCTCCTCCGTCATGGATGGAGATTCTGCCAGCTCAACCGCATGTGCGATGTGTTGGGCTGGTACCTGACATGGCCGTTTCAGAAGGCCCGCACGATGGGGAAGAACAAGGCACCGAAGAGAAACATGGAAGCGTGCAGTCATGTGAGTCAGAGGAGAGTGTTTCCGATTCAAGTCCGGCTCCTTGCCCAGCCTGTCGGGGCGGTGTATGAATTGGAAGGAGCACCGCTTGCGATTGCTAGGCAGGAACGAGAAATCAGGCACGCCTCCTTCCCACCCTAGACTCCATCACGGGACATTCAGTTCCACTTGGTCCAATCATGGAATGGAATGCTGGTGCCACCCCGCCCCACAACACGGGCTGCACGCGAAATCATGGGGAAAAACGCTGGCCAGTGGCAGGGCTCCATGCAGCCGCTGCCCAGATGAGCTAAAAACAGCTTGCCGCCAATCCTGGCGCCTCGTTGCGAACCCGCGCGCCTACCCTGAAGCACTCGGCCGACGAGCCCAGCTCCGATTACGACGACGTTGCGGCCCCTCCCAGCGATGCGGCCTGGACCTCTCGTTTCGACGGTCCCCAAGCCGCCGAAACTGCACCGCCTCGGCCTTAGTGGGTGCTTGGCTGGCCCGTCGCCTCCCGACCAGTCGTCGGGCTCTTGGGGACTCTGCTACGACGGGGCTGCCCCCTGCGCCGACAGTCTGGCCATCATCTAACTACACAGGCAGGCAGGTGGGCAGGTAGAGGCATGTCTGGCTGGTCTTTTCGGGCTCTTCGCCTTAGCGGGCAGTCTCTTTCGTCGTTCTTCTTTTGGGCATGGCGTGCCACGCGCATGCTTCCCTCCAGCAGCGCCATCTAGGAGCGTCTGTCATGGCCAGCACGGCCAGCAGCCGCGACGGTTCTGCTTTGTTCGCATCGGGTGCGCGGCACTGGCGTCCAGAGCCCTAGCCGGGGGGCTGCTGCGTCTGTTGCCGCCGGACTTGCAGCTGCGGATCGATCTGTTGGACCGCGGGCCTCCTCGGTGGCGGCCACCACTTTGCTGCCCTGCTGCCCTGCTGTCTCTGAGGCTCGGGCGCCAATTGTTCGACATGGGCCGTTTCTTGTGCTCTGCCCTGCCTTTGTCAGGAGAGAGAGAGGGAGCAGTCCGAGATGGAGCCGGAAACCGGGCGATATCAGCCACAGTTCATTCTTGGGCTTGCCTTGTCCTTCTGAGACGCAGCCCGGAAAAAACGGGCAGCCAAGCTATACTTAGGCCATCATCGTTCATCGTGGCCTTGTCTGCCCGACTTACTTCTCCGCCCAGAACGCGTGTTTGTCTGTCGTCTTGTGCGCCTCACTGTGCTCCGCCATTGACTTGACACTTATTCATTGTTCCTCGTCGCCACCTTCTTTGTTCTTCACTGCCCCTAATCATTCACGTCGAGAACCACGTTGTTTGTTCTGTGAATCAGGTCGACATATTTGTACCTGTTCTTCCCGCGCAGACACCCGCAGCATCCCCCTTTTACCTGATCTCGTTCCTTCTAGTCTTTTTCGCTTGATCAACATTAAAGCATCAAAACGATCGGAGCAAGGCCACCAACAGCCATAAGTGGTACAAGAGAAACCACACTCGACTCTACATACCTTTCCTCCTTCACGTCCAAACAATCGTCTCCATCCTCCATTGGACCCTTCGGCAGACGAACCCCAACCGCAACACTTTTATGCAAAAACTCGAGGCTGGTATGGCAGATCGCCGTCGTCCGAGGCTCGCCATGCGGGCGGCCCTGACCATCGCCCTTTACGCGGCCTCGACTGCAGCTTCATACATCCCCGCGCGATCCATGTTCCTCCTTGAGAGGCAAAACACGTGCGGCATCTCGGGTCATACACAATGCGCAGGCTCCGGGGTCCCGAAGGGCTTCTGCTGCGGCGCCTCTGACCAGTGCATGCTGCTCGCCGGCAAGACCACGGTCCTGTGCTGCCCTGCCGGCGACAGCTGCAACAAGATTAAGCCCATCTCGTGCGATGTCAAGCTGCAGAACCCTGCAACTCACCCAGAGTCCGTCGTCAAGACCACCGTGTTCGACGTCGAGCTGGCCACCTGTGACAGCGGCTGCTGTCCCTTTGGCTACACGTGCTCCGACAAGATATGCGTCGCTGATGTCGACAAGGACACGCCGCCAGGGCGGGCCAAATCGTCGTCGTCCCCAACCCCGGCACCGACAACGTCGGGTAGAACGGGGGGCATTACCCCCACCTCGCCGAACACTAGGCCGGCCACGACCACAAACCCGCCCTCGTCGAGCGCGACGGGCAGCATCGGCGACACATTCTCGACCACGGGCCCCGGCTCGCCGGCCACAGCCATCCCAGGGGGCGCCGAGAACGTGGGTGGCCCGCCGCCACCGCCAGCCGACTCGGTGGCGACCCCGTCCATCATCGGCGGAGTCGTCGGTGCTCTCATGTTCCTCATAGCCCTGGCCGTTGGGATCTTTTTCTGTTATCGCCGGAAGAAGAAGAATGCGAAGGCAGAGGCCGCCGCCGCCTCGCCGCGAGGCGACGGTGCATCGTCCGTCATGGCCTACGGGAACGCGATTTCGCACCCGATTCCCTCCGAGACGACGTCGGGCGCCATGCGCACCGACTTCAACCGCAAGGGCTCCATCTCGTCACACAGTTACGGTGGCGCGTCTGACCACGTCCCCTTCGCCCAGGCCGGCGCCACGGTGGGCCAGAACCATCACCAGTACCCTCCATCGCCGCCCGGCCGTAATCTCACCGGCCGCACCACCGCCGCACCCCAGATCCCTCCACTCCGGGGCATGAGGACCAGCGACGGCGGCAAAGTCGGCATGCGCCCCGGTGGCTATGGCGGCATGACGCCGCCCACGACACCGCCGCAGCGCCACATCAGTACCGAGAGCATCAACGTGTACGTGGATGGCGGCCCGGCGCTGCTGGGTAAGGCGGCCGGTAGTGGTGGTCGGAGGTACTCGACCGAGACCACCTTCACCACTATGATGCGCCAGGCCGACCTTCCGGACCCTCGTTACGGGGCTACTTTTGTGCCTCCTGCGGCCTTTGTCACGCCGGATCGTCGGCCCCAGAAGTAGCGCCGCGTCTCTTTTTCTTCTCCCCATTCATCCAGTCATAATAGCAGGTCTTTTAATCACTGGCGTCTTTAATCATGGATATAGCATCGTCGTTTATTGCCGGGAGCGCTTTGGGCCGTTTTTTTTTTATCGTTTTGCATAGCCGGGCATGTTGGGCTGTCTTCTTGTCTTGAAACTCTCCTTTGTTCATAATATTTTTTTTACTCATATATACCCCCCTCAAGGCCGAGTGCCGACTTGTTCAGAATGAAACTACATGCTACCATGATCAACGACGTGAGCCCCCGGAAGCCGAGTATGATTCAATAGGCATGCTGTTCTGAACCGTGATTGTCATGGACGTATTTCCCGGCGCTCGCTATCAAGAGATAGTCTTCAGGTTATTACCACTGACGGATAGAACTTCCCGCAGCGTGTACCCTGTACTTTGATGATACCAGCTTCCAAGCACAGCAGAGCTTTGGGACTGAGGGCGCAAGTCGTCTTGAAAACCAGCCCAGGGCTCCAGATGAGATAAGGCCAGCAAATGGATAGGCGGGATTGCCACATGGGAGATGTCCCAGACATTCGGTGGAACTGTGAGGGATAGAACGTGGGAATACTAGCATGTTCTCGCAAGATATAGACAAGAGACCTGGACAGCAAGCAAGCAACTATATGCCGAGATGTGGTGACGTGGATGTGAACCCCAAAAGGAAAAAACGTAATGTACCCGCAGCGCTGCGAAGCTTCATAGTGATATGTGTATATAAAAGAACACAAAAGCGAGCATTTTGTTTTCGTCACCCAGCTTGTCACAAAACGGGCCAGACGGCCAGTCACACATGGGGCTTCCTTCTCATCGCAGCCACCGTCCATCTCCCCCATCCTCACCCTCACCCTCCTACTCCTCCTCCTCCTCCTCCTCACCCTCACTGCTTCTTCTTGGAACCCCCCGAGGCGTCGGCGGCCGCGGCTGCCTCGGCCTGCAGCTGCGCGATCTGACGGTCGTCCTCGAGCTCCCTGCGCTCGGCGTACCACTGGCCGGCCTGGAGGACCAGGACGCCGACGAGGACGAGGGCGAGGATGGTGTTGCTGGCGCTCAGCACCTTGAGCGAGTCCTCCCTGCTGAGCCGCAGCTCTCCCGACAGCGGCCCTTCGTGCCGGAGCGTCCCCCTGCCGTCGTCCCCCCAGACGTTTGCCGACACGTCCTGGAGCCCCCTCACGATGTTTGCGACGTAGATGCCCACGCCGATGAGGTACAGCACCAGCGAGGCGCCGTCGAAGAGCACGTTCGCCTCGGACGGGCGGAACAGCTTGGCGAAGAAGCCGAGGAAGCCGACGCACACCACCATGTTGAGCACGCGCGGGATCAGCGGCGGCGCCGCGTGCATGAAGCGCAGGTGCGTCGCCAGCTGGTCGTAGTAGGCCGGCTGGACCGGGGTCGAGGTCCAGAGGAGCGGGAAGTCGTAGGGGAAGGAGGCGAAGAGGATGCCGAGGAAGAAGCAGACGGCTGTTTTTTTTTTTTGCAAGAATATGTCAGTCAGCTCATGGCCCAAAACGTCGTCATGGGCAAATCAGAGCGGGAGGACAAGAGAAGAGAGAAGAGTGAGAAAAAGAAAAAAAGAAAAGAAAGAAAAAACTCACGGCCTACTATCATAATGGTGGCAAACGAGTGCGACCCGCGGTAGTCCGTTGAGCGCGTGCTCTTGGACCAGTCCACCCACTTGGTGTCCATCTTGCCGGGCGGCCTGCTGGATCGCGGCGACGACAGGCGCGAGACGTAAAAGACCCTCTGGAGCTTTGGTGACGGCGCCGTCCT